ACATTGTGCAAGGTTTTGAGAAACTGTCCGTAGTTGCTTGTGAAGAAACAAAACCAAATGGGCTGCACTTAGATACTGCACATATATGGCAAGCTAATACATTGATAAAGTAGTTTGCTTGGCTACTTTTTAGATTAGCCAAACACGCAGATTTATTTATTTAGTTCGTTTGTCAAGCATGCATGAGAAAACAAGTGTAAGTATGAACATAAGATATAAACGTGTAAGTATAAATGGGTATAAGTACTGTACATACATAATAAATGAGTATGTATAAATGGGAACAGTGGGACAGGGATGGTGCATGCCCCCTTACAGATCTCTTAGGAACGGCGTGAGGTCTGCGGTAGACAGTTTAAGGTTGAAGTTTTGGGGGTTTGAGGATGTAACAACAGAGCCAGATAGTGAGTTCCAGCCATTGACCACTCTGTTGCTGAAGTCGTATTTTCTGCAATCGAGTTTGGAGCGGTTTACTTTGAGTTTGTATTTATCGCTTGCCCATGTATTATTGTGGTTGAAGGTGAAGTAGTCACTGACAGGTAGGATGTTGTAGCAGACAATTTTGTGTACTAAGCTTAGGTCAGACCATAGGATATGATTTCAGATATGTTAGAACCTGTTTGCCTGTTTACTATTCAATTTCTCGATTTTGTGCAAAAGGCTGCTGTTAAAGAACAAGCTGTGGAGCTGAGCGGGAAGAGGAGGAGAGGCGACCCAAGAGCCTCTATGATCAACTGCTTCCATACAGTCACTGACAATTGGGAGACCTACGCAAAGCCTCCTATGAGAAGCCTTTCCTTGAAAGGGCTGTAACTCACATGGGTCAAATCACTTGGAACAAAACCAAAAGCTCCGATCTATAGGTTTTTTTAGTAGAAAACCTTAGGGAATTAAATTATATAAATACTTCTGCCTTCAACTAAGTGAACATTCACAACTTTTCCTGTCACAGAAATCTGATTGATTTGTTTCAGTTTCTGCTAGTTTTTTTCTTGCACATTTTAAAATTAAATAAATTGCAATTATTACGATAGAACATATAAATAATAGGGTTGGAGGAGACTTCCAACCTCCTACTCAGGCAGCAAATCCTATGCCATTCCAGACAAATGGCTTTTCTTGAAAATCTCCAGTGATGGAGCACCAACATTTGGAGGTAAGCTATTCCACTGATTAATTGTTCTCACTTTCAGGAAATTTCTTAGTTCTAAGTTGGATCTCTCTTTAACAATCTTCCATCTGTTTCTAATTGTCCTGCCCTCAGTTGTTTTGGAGAATAGGCTGAACTCCTCTTCTCTTTTACAATCCCTCAAGTATTGGAAGACTGCTAACGTATCACCCCTGGTCTTTCTCTTCATTAGACCAGACATACCTAGTTCCCTCAGTCACTCATCCTATGGTTTAGCCTCCAGGCCCGTTATCATCTTTGTGGGACTTTTGTGGCACTCTTTCTAGAATCTCAACATCTTTTTTGTATCATGGTGACCAGAATTGGATGTAGTATTTCACCAGTGCAGTATAAAGTGGTATTATCTCCTCATATTATCTTGAAAACTGTCCCTCTCTTGATGCAATCTAAAATCTACTCTTTATCTACTTAAGCTATTTTGAGCTACTACTGATATTTGGTTGAGAAGTATCCAAAATGTTTAAAATAAATGAGATGAAATATAGACATTGCATCAAATAATGTATCAAAACCACTGAGAATGAAATTCTAAGCAGCCAACCGCTGAAAGCAACAGCCTTTTATTGACATTATATGTCAAAGGATATTTGCTAGTTTTAAAAAGAATATTTGTTGTAATAATAGCTAGGAAAGTTTCTGTAATTCAGCACAGTATTGAAAGTTCAAGAGAACGTATTTTATAAATCTCAATATCACTTCTGTTTTTTTGTTTTTTTGTTTTTCTAAAAAATATTAAGTTAAAGTAGACATAAAAGAAAAGACAAATAACTATCTTTGACAATAGTAGGAATGATATTTTCTGAAGATTTTTGATGTAATCTAGTTTAAACAATAAAATGCACAGGTTTAGTAAACAGATTGTAGGAAGTTTCCATGTAAATGTTAATTCTAAACAGCAAAATGCACACATGGACAACTACATAAAGACAGTAATCTGTGACCAAAAATAATCAAATGTAATACAAGTCTGTGGATACATATCTTTTGGTTAAAATAAAACCTGCATTAAGAACAGAAGCGTGCATCAACCTAACACAAGATTGTTAGTTTTGCTGGGACTTTTATGCCCATAAGGCTCTTGGAGAACATGGACAATTTACAGTTTTAAAGTTTTTTTTAAGGTGAACTCTTATGTTTCTGGTGCTTTCAAGCTGGACTTGTCATATTAGTGCAACATATTTTCCATAGGAAATGATGGTAGTGGCAAAGATCTCACCCCAAAGATGCCATAGTTGGAAAGCAGATACAAAACCCTACAAACACTATTGTCTACGCGTAGGCATCAAAATCCTTTTTCTTCCTCCCCATACGTTTAATTGTTTGATATCGTTTGGTCATGCTACATATGACGTTCATTTATGGTTTGGAAACAAACATTCAAAATACTCAGAATGCCTGTGTTATAGCTCAAAGAAAATTCCAAAATGCTCGGAACAGATTGTTTCATATTTGAAACAGCAGTTTTACACCTAGAACAGGACATTTTGTGAAATGTCATACATTAAAGCTTCAAATATAAAATATTTTACACACCATTAAAGCACAATGCAAAGACATACAAAAAGAAGGTTACACTTTCTGGAGGAACCATTAACTGATCTCAGATTCTGCTCAGTTATGATACCTGCCAAACTTTATCCTTCACAGGCAAACTGAAAAAAATCTTAACTCTTCCATTTTGTATTTAAAAACCACCTGGTTCAAGTTTTGAACAAGGGATTGTGGTGAAGGTAAAAGCACTTCAGAGGTAGTAAAGACATACTCTTCATTACTGTGGCCAAAACAAAACTAAAATTAGGAAGATGGTCTATTTGTCCTTACTCTTGAGATGAGAGATAATGATCTCTGTCAGTTGCTGGATTTTCATTTCTATAACTGATAATTGAGTAGTTGAAACTGAGCAATGGTTAGAGCCAATTTTTTCCCCAGCCTTCATAATCTTTAATTTCCCCCAATTCTCATGGCTCTTTTCTATGATGCTTAGATGCATAATGAAGGTTCATAATTGTGTGCTCCTAAATGTTCATTTGCTGCCATTCATTAAACAGCTGGAATTCAGAAACTTTATAAATAGAATCTTAGAATTGTCAACTATTTTCTTTTCTTAATGCATTATTTCATACTTATCTTAATAGTGATTGGTATCCAAGTTTATTTTAAGAAAAAAGACATTTGAAGCATGACTAAAAATAGCTTACAAAAGCATACTTTTGTTAATCTCGCATACTTAATGATTAAGTATATAATGCATACATATATAATAATACAGTAACTTTAAAATAGCGAATTAGAAATAATCTCTGAGAAAAACATATTCATTTCTAACTGGGATAATGAAGCACAAAATCAGATTTCTTTCTAGGCCTGCCATGAGTCTTATACTCAATATCAAGTATTAACTTATCTGTATGTATGTATGTATGTACAGAACGTAGTGTAAGTAGTGACATCTACATTGGTTATTTTTGTATCATTTCTAATAGATGATAGATATTAACAAAGATGAAAAAGCAGGGAACTTATTAAACAGGTGCACTGATAAAAAACCAGTGAACTTCAATCAAGCACATTTTAAAAATGAAAAATGAAACCCCATTTTTAAACCAACCACATTATGCTTGCATATTAAAATATATTGTAAAAACAGAAAATAAGTCACATCCTCCTGAGTTAATTCCAGATTAGTAAACAACACTAATATTGATGGATAGAATACTATAGAAAAAAAAATCAACATTGGCGCTGTTTTCTTTAAATGATTATTTTAGGGGAAAGGAAATCCTGACAATATCAGAGAAAGTATTGTAACACTATCTCTGCATGTAAATTTTAACACAAATCAAATACATTAAATATTGTTTGCTTTCAATGATCAAGTGATGTACATAGACAAGGATACCTGTGAATTAACCTACAAATACTATTTATCTCAATAAGAGAAGCACAACCTGAGGTCTGTGTATTGCAAGGTGTCCTCAGAGATTTCCCCAAAATTGCTACTAAAACTGCAATATTTAATTTGAAAAAAGGGAAAATTATAAAATGCACACAGAGTAATCCTATTAAACATATGTAATAGGAAACAATTTAACTAAAATAAATACAATCAAATTAAAAACATCGTATTTTTCGCGGCATAAGACACACCGGACCATAAGACGCACCTAGGTTTAGAGGAGAAAAACAAGAACCAAAATATCAGGGGAGCCTGAGAGGACCACAGACAGGTGTCCTCTCATGTGCCAACTCTGCCTATTTACTCCTGCACTGTGGAAAAGAGACAGAAGAGGAGGGCAATGACAAAGACAGAAGAGGTGGGGTTTAGCACTGTAAAAGGACCCCACCATCGCGGCTTGGCTGCTATTCACCAAGGGACTGGCACTGTCCACTTTTTTGGGGGGGGGGGGGGTGGAGTACATCTTATGAAACGAAAAATACAGTATATTCGGTTTTATCTTGGTTTATCTGTTTTGGGGATTACAGTCCAACCCAACCATTCAACATGTGTCTTAGCTTGAAAGAAGTCATCTACTCTGACCTAAACAAAAATATTCAGTGATGTGAAACACTAGCAGCATGTCCATACCAATATTCTCTTTGGGGTGCTTTTACTTCCACAACAATTGTATCCCGGTGTCTCTAAATAAAAATGTTGTGTCCTCATAACTTACCCATACTATTAAAACAGAATACCAACCTGGTACACGTCATATTTTACTATTAGTCCTGTGCTGCTATTTCCCAAATTTTAGCAAGCAACAATATACTTTCAGAGAAACCTGATGTATCAAATGTTCGCTGAGAAGCAATACTGAAAGTCTGCTGGCAAGTAGGAAGCCCTGCCTTGAGAGCCTGAAGCGTTTCTCATGATTTATAGGAACAAGGCCAAAACTCCCCTATTTTTTCCTGAACATTTATGTTGCTCATTAATAATCATGGATGTTCAAAATAAACGTTAAGTAGTAAATCTTGCCAAGTTAAAGGACAGTGAGTTCCAAAGCTTATCTTGATATAAACAATCAATTAGAACCACTTATTAAAAAACAGCAACATCCAGAGATGCTATTCCTTCACAGTTGTTTTGCATAAGTGTATCTTTGACAGGAATTGTTTCTCAGTCAGATCTCAAGCAGGTCTTCTCCACTCTCGTCACTCTCTACAGTAAGTTGCCTTGTCCACCACTTCTTAACTTCTGATCCACATGAAGCCACATCTGACATAGGATTCATTTTGCACACAACGGATTTCATAGTTGTCCGACCCCCAATTCTTATGTTGACTGAAGACACTGAATGGCTTATTGGTTTTGGGGCTAGGAAATGAAAGAGAAAAATATTCACTGCAAATAAATCATCATCATGCTAAGCAATTCTGGTATGATGAAAAGTGGATTTGTGGCAAAATATTTGCCATCTCTGAAGCCTAATGAAAAGATTTCTTTTAAAAAAATATGTAATTAATTACTCAGTAACACCAACAAGAGGAAACACAATGTTAACTCCATGGATTATTTTCTTTGGTGAGAGAAATTAGAAGCTTTTGATTCTATGAATTTAAGGCTTCCATTATGTATCTCTTGTTATCACACTTTTTCCCCTATAGAGGGCAAGACATTTCTTGGGATAAATCTACACCGAGGAGTTCCTCAAACACATAATTTCACCTCTCTGAGCTGTTCTGTACTGATAGGTACTATACCTTGCCAGCTGCTGGATGTAAGCTGATAAGCTATAGAACTGTACTGTATTTTCACATTTTTTCTACAATAGTGAAACTGTTTTTATATATAACTGAACGTTTTCATATATTAAAACAGCATTATTGACAATTGGAAACAAAATTTTAGTAAGCCCATGCCCAGTCCATTTACTGCAGTAGTGATTAGAGCATTCAACTGGGACAGGAAAGGCTGAATTCAAGTCCTATGTTGCTAAATTGGGCCATTTATTTTCTCTCAGACCATCATATTACACACTGCTTTACTTGGAGGAAAAAAAAAAAACTACTGGAGAAAGCTGAGCATCCACAGGACACAATGTAAGAGTAGTACAGGAGTAACTCAGTAATGATAGCAGTTGGGATTGGAATTTCCGTTGCTAAGCAACATGGTCATATAGCATGACATCATGTGACCACGCTGCTTAGTGATGGCAGTTTTGGCACTTCTGGTTGCTGTTATTAAGTGACACTAGAGCACTCTCATTAACTGCAATGTCTTGACCTCAATGTCAGCTTGGCCACTGACTTTGCTTGTGGGAAGCCACCAGTGAAAGTCACAAATGGCAATCATATGACCATGGGATGGTGTGACCTTGTAATTATGAGTGCCTGGATCGTGATCATGTGATAGTGAAGAACTCTGACAGCTGCAAGTATGAGAACCAGCTGCAAGTACCACTCGTTCAATGTGGTTGTAGGTTTGAATGGTTGCTGAACATCATTAAACAAGGACTACATTTATTGGTAACAATAATGAGAATGCTAGCAATGTAGTATACCAATATATATATTATAAATGTATACTGGTACTAAAAAAATCTTATATAAAAATGGCATATTGTTGTGGCCCGCCAGCGGCCAGCAGAGCTGGCAGCAGACTTGGACAGTGAGGAGGTTGGGGAGGAACATGGGCCAGTCCTGGAATCTGGGGAAGGCTCTGACGAGTGATCTGCGTCGGAGGCAGAGATGGGACCAGGGCCGTCTGACAGTTATCAGCTGCCTTCGGAGTCGGAGATCAGTGGGGCAGAAGAACAATTGGAGCCTGTTCCCAGTGTGCGCATGCACAGAGCTGCCAGAAGAAGGGAACAGCTAAGGAACAAGGGTTGACTTGGGAGTAAAGCCACAGGTGAACGGTGAATGGCCCCTCCAATAGGGAATAAAAGAGGAGCGAAAGGGGAATGGGGGAGGCAATTAGTTCATTTGGGTGAAGATCTGTTCCTGCATTCTTACAATGTGGCATCCGAAAGATATTGGCCTGGCAACTCTCCAAGCCTGATAAAGGTCAGTAATTGTGAGATATCTTGAAAGACTGTTGGCCAGGACTTTGCTGGAGAGAAATTCACTGTAAACTAAATAAAAGGGGTTTATTGGGACTAGGAATCGGCTTCGTGCTGTTGGGGAAGCCTAAGTCAGAACACATACTATAGGCTGGTTTTTCTTTAATCATTTCAAGTTTGAAGTTCTGCTCCTTTTAATTGTAAATTTACAGAAGATATTTTTATGCATTTAAATCAGTACATAAAAACATAAGCAATGCCTTACTGGATCACACTCTGCAATCTATAACAATAGTGGGCAACCTACCTGACAAGGAAGCCAATTAGGTACCAAGCAGATGGTCTTCAGAAGTTTTGCCATCAAGGCTAATAGCCATTGAACCCATGACTTCTATGAATTTGTCCAACTCTTTGTTGAAACCAATCAAGCTGGTACCCAACATTACATCTCATAGTAGCCATGGATCTTCAAGGCGAGCCTTTTATATTAACTCTCTGAATCTATAAAGCCTAGTTGTTTATAGCCCCAAGAACTTAACATTGCTGTTTTTACCTATTGCCATTCTTTATGTTATTGATTCTGTTAGTCTGTGTAGGAATAATAATTATTCATTGTAATCTTTATTTGACTATTGAACAGTTTGAGTGGCAGACATTATTCTGCTATAATCCCAATTCAACGGAACATTCCTTGTATTCTGTATTTAAAATATACAGTATTTATTGAACATAGATTTCTTTTTCTATTCCAGGCACTTAGAGCTAAGATTTTCCTCTTTCCTTCTGATGTCGCCAAATATCTAACTGAATTAAAATTATGGATTCTACACAAATGCTCTAATGTAAGAACTGCCATCTGAGCTGAGTTCTCACAAAGTAACAAATTACTTTGCTAGATTACCTGGGATACTGCATCTCTCACAAAGGGGTAGAGATGGAACCAGAGAAGGTATGAGCTGTGCTCAGATGGGGAGTCCGCTATTCCTAGAAGCAGCTGAAAAGCTTCCTCAGTTCTACCATCAGTTCATTCCAGCATTTGTGCAAATCATGCTGCCAGTCACCAATCTACTCAAAACTAAAAGAGAGGGAAAATCCATGCTGGGACAACCGCTCAAATGGTCCACGGAATGCACTCGAGAAACTGAATCAACTGTTTGCAGCTAAGCCCGTCCTTAAACACCTCAATCCTGTGTGTGCCATCCTCCTCCAAAGAACCAACAAGGACTCCTACAATCATGTGCCTGTACCTCTAAGAAAGTCTCTAACTCAGAGTGCAGGTGGGCAATATGGGAAAAGGAAGCCTGTGTGATTTGCTGGGCGTTACTCATCTGGAGACACTTCTTGCAGGTCTGGACAGATCACAAGAAACTGGAAGCACTGAAGATTCCCAAAAAACTCTCCTAAACAAGTGAGGTGGGCACAACACTTCAATCAGTTACTACCAACCTGCCTTCCACTGAGGACCACAAGTGAAAAAGAGAACTGTGAAAATATTTACAGACCCCTCACATCCTGGACATAAACTGTTTCAACTCCTTCCCTCAAAACGATGCTTTAGAGCACTGCACACCAGAACTACTAGATACAAGAACATTTTTTCCCTGAACGCCATCACTCTGCTAAACAAATAATTCCCTCAACACTGTCCAATTATTTACTCAGTCTGCATTACTATCATTATTAATCTGGTATTTAAAGTACATATTTAAATATTCCTTTCTACAAAATTCCTGAAATCCAGACCCTCAAAGAAACTGAGACTAAAATACATTGGACCTTTCCCCATCATTACAATCATCAACCCAGTGGAATTAAAGAAAACTCTCAACAGATCCATTCTATTTTCCACTGCAGCCTTTTAAAAACTGCAACCACATCACCTTTGCACTCACAACAAAGCTGCCCCTGCCCCCTATGCTTATTGAAGGAGATGGATGTCAAGGAGATCCTTGACACATAGACACACAGAAGCAAACTTTAATACTTAAATCCTCTGGAAACATTTCCCACCTTCTGAAACTGAGTGGGTAGACGCCAAACGTGTGATTCCCACCCCTGGTACGTAAATTTCACAATCAATACCTTGATAAACCGCACTAAAATCCTAATCTTTCGTTTCTTTTCTTTCCCGAGGTTTAACCCTTTTTTAAGGGGGACAGAATGTCAGAACTGCCATCCTGAGCTGCAGCTTTGCTAAATGACAGCCTGCCATAGACTATGAGGGGAGAGAGAGCTGCTGGGAAGAGGGAAACCGAAACTACCTGTCATGCCTTCCAGATACATCTGCTTATCATCCCAAGGCCAAAGACCTGGGAGGGAATGCAACACCTCACCATCTAGTACAGAGGTGGGCAACTATGGCCCCTTTATGACTTGTGGACTTCAACTTCCAAAATTCCTGAGCTAGCATGGCTTGCTCAGGAATTCTGGGAGTTGAAGTCCATAATTCATAAAAGGGCCATAGTTGCCCACCCCTGATCTAGTAGATGCAGGGAACGTTATCAAAACAATTCCTTTGAATGTGACTGGATAATAAGGAGATAATAAGAAGGGAGGAACAAGAAAAGGAATGTTAACTAGGGAACTTTCTTGTACAAACTTTTTACAGCTGCTTTACTGTAATCCACTTGGCTTTTAGTAAAATTACACCTTTCACTACAAATGGAATCAAGGGTTTTTCTTTGCTAAGGGACCAAGTCAAGACAGGCCTGACAATGAATATAGAGGGCCATTTCTTATGGATAGGTAGATTTCAATCTATGGCTGTAAGAATAAAATGTGGATTCATCACTGATAATCTCTTATGGCAAGATACTTTTTCAGTCTGCATAAAATAAATTATATTATAATTGTTTGGTGTACCAATTGGACAAAAATGTGCCTAAGGTGATCCAGAATTCATTTCAAGCACATAGTTTCTTTTGAAGGACAAGAAGTTTGAAATTGGCTCATGTTAGGCTAGAATATGAATCAGAAATTTCATTTCCTTTTCTCTTGAGAATATATTTGACACGTTTCCTAAAATGCCTAGGATTATCATGCATAAGATAGGTAGTCATGTAACTTTTCTAAATGTAACTAAACATTCTTTTGATGATTTTCAGAGCTGTATCAGAAAGAACTCCAAATGTCACTTGACGAAGGCATTTTGTATTTATTTTGTACTCTCTTTGATATGGAAAGCTGCTATAGATCTATATTCTGAAACCCTATCAGTTTGGGAATATGCATTATGCCCCTATTCACTTACCAGATGGCAAACGCCATTGTCCAAGTTTTCGCTGAGGTCTACCAGAATCACCAGAATCTTGTCGATATCCACCTCTGTCAGAAAGTGTGGGGCTTAACAGTTGCTGTTCACTACTTGCCTGCATAAAATGAAAGAGAAGAGGAATTAAAATCTGAAAAAATAAATAAAAAGGACCTTTGATTATGTTTTTTTAGGCCTCATAAAATTGAACATAAAAATTATATTAAGCATACAAGAATGGACAAGTAGAAGAAAGAAAAAGAAAGAAAGAAAAGCAAATTTCCATGGCCTTCAAATCATACGTGTCCTTTACATATATTTTTGGGGCAGGAATGAATTGAAAGGTCTGCTCTTTTACCAAAGTGCTTTAGATCTGGTTGGTATATACCAAATATGTTGTAGTCAGATGCAGTTGAATGGTTTTCCATATATTGTGTCCTACTGCACAGACTCGTGATTTTTCCTAATGCTTCTAGGCCATTTTTGAGTGGTGGCTTCAAGTCAGTGTTGACTCCTGGCAAGTTTCTGGACAAGTCTCTGCAGTTTTCATGGCAATATTTCAGAAGTGTTCTACTTAGTAAGAGTGAGGGTTGAGAGAGAGAGCAACTGGACCAAAATAATCCAGTGGGCTTCATGTAGGACTAGAACGTATGGCCTCTCAGTTTCTAGACTGATGCCCTTATCATATACCAAATTGACTTACTTTCTAGGCCTGTGATGGCAAACCTATGGCATGCGTGCCAGAGCATTTGTGCTGGCACATGAGCTGCAGGCAAACTTACCTTACTGGGCATGCGCACGCCTCACAGCTGATTTTCGTCTGGTTTGAGGCCTTTTTTGATCTCCCAAAGACTTAAGGAAGGCTTCTGCAGGCTGAAAACTAGCCCCGTTTCATCACTTCCTGTTTTTCTGAAAATACCAGAAGTGATGAAATGGGGCTAGTTTTTGGTCTGCAAAGCCTGCAGAAGCTTTCCTCAAGTCTTTGGGAGACCAAAAAAGGCCTCAGACTGGCTAAAAATGAGCTGTGAGGCGCAGTGTAGGTAAGGGGGCAGAGGGGATAGGTGGGTGGGTATTACGTACGCGTGAGTAGGGTTCAGTGGGAAATGCGCATTGCCTTCTGGGTGCTGGCAAGTGAGTGCAAGTGTGCGCACAATTTTTGGCACAGGAGCCCAAAAAGGTTAGCCACCACTGTTCTAGGCCAATGACCGAGATTTTTGAGAACAATAGGGATGACCCCATACCTCAGGCTGTGCATTGTTATCCTGGTTGTTAGCATTCATATCTTCACTTGGCTGTGTTGTTTCAATGCTTGGTGGATTTAGGAAACGGCTTAATTCCTGCTGTTGACTCTCTCGGAGGCTGTGAATGATACTGCATGACTGCTGTTGTTTCTACGAAAATAAGACAAACATGATATATTTTGTTTTCTTCTCTATTTCTTCCAAAAAGAAATGTAGAAGGTTAATGTGATGGTAGATGGATGGGATCAAAGAGCTATGGTTTATCAAAATAAAAACTTGGGAATTGTTGACTTTATTATAGGCATGTTCAAAGATGTGATAAAATAATATCTGAATTTGTGTGACTTTTTCATAAATAAAACTGGTGACTTCACTGGGTTTAGAGAAGACAAAAATAAACTTATTGTGTTTTTCATTATTATATTTTATTCATGTAGTCCAAGAATTCTTAATTTTTGCAGTATTGTAACTGCCAGTTCCAAGGGACTTCCTTTCAAGATGGCTACTGGATGATAAGGACTTCTTTTTTCCCTTTTTCCCTTTGCTGATTTCACTGCCAAAATGATTCTTTGGCTGGGTTGCTCCCTGATTTTGAATGGGAGCACTCAGAAATGACAAAGAGGACTTCTGGACGATCGTGGACCTAGTTGGAAAAGAGGATCCTGAAGATTCCAATTCTCTCTGGAAGTGACTGCAGTCACTGGGCATATAAATATTCCTGTCAGCAATTTCATTATCTTAAGCCCGAATGTGAACTTTCACTTTTGAATTTATTGTTTCATTTCGCTTTTGGCTTAACAAATATATACACATATACATATATATATACACGTGTGTGTTTGTGTGTGTGTGTGTGTGTGTGTGTATTCCTTTTCCATATTTTCCTGTTCCTTTTCCATATGGAAGCATGGCTGGCATTGGGGTGGTGGAGAAATTTTCACTCTCACCACTGGATTTTTGTGCTTGCTGAATCTGCAAAATATTTGGAGTTTATTTCTCTTGAATTTTCTTTATAACCCTGGATTGAAATATAGAGGAAAATCATTCTTTATTCCCTGATTAAACTTCAGGGATTAAAATGGCTGAACAGTGGCTAAAACCTAAGAACAGAGGATGGGTGGATATGCAGCTCCTACCTGAATTTCTTTTTAGAAACCTCAATGAGACGATACTAATTTTGCAAAATAAGTTAGGGCAAGAAACTTTGGATGAAGACATACAAAAGGACTCCCTGATCGAGTTCCAAATCAAAGAAAATCATGCTGGTTTTCTGAAATGAATGACAACTCTGTGGTATGAAAACCAAAAAAACCCGAAGCCCCAAGCAGTGAAGCACAGTCAGTCAAGCCATGTTATTTCTGATAGATTTTTAAAATAGCATTCAAAAGCGTATTAATAACGCAATAATGTTAAACTTACTGCTCTAATGCGCTTCAAGCATTTTTTCAACCACATGCGTATCGTCTGCTTGGCAACCTCTTCCTCTATGGTGTACTCGAGTTGTTCCCTTGCAAGGAGCTCTTCCAGCTGAAGACTTTTTCTGATGTCAACCGATCTATATGAGAGCATGCTAGAAGAAATGAATATTAGTAAATATTCATTTTTTAAAAAGGAAAATGACTCTATTGTCCAACAATATAGTTCCTTTGCAATGTTTGTTTGATTTGTAAAACAATGCTTAATGTCTTGGGGTCCATTGATAATTGCACAGTGCGAGTGTTGAAGTAATTATACAATCCAAGCAGGGGTGGGATTCAAATTTTTTAACAACCGGTTCTGTGGGCGTGGCTTAGGTGGTGAGCGTGGCTTGGTGGTCATGTGACTGGGTGGATGTGGCTTGGTGGTCATGTTATTGGCTGGGCGTGGCCAACTCAATATCACTCACATCAAGGCACGCGTCTCCTCACCTGGCCTCTCATGACTGTGGGGATGTTGCAACAGTTGTAAGTGTGAAAAATGGTCATAAGTCACTTTTTTCAGTGCCATTGTAACCTTGAATGGTCATTCCACACAAGCAAAGTACCAGCAAAGGAGGGAAAAAAAACTCCAGAGATGTTCCTGAGAACCAAGAATGCCAAGAACGTAATAAGGATTAACGGAGAGGCAGTTTCTGTAAGAAACACCAGAATGTTTCCTTCTTGTCTTCCTTACAGGATTAGGCCGGTAATTTCTTCTAACAACCGGTTCTCCGAACTGCTTAGAATGTTAACAACTGGTTCTAGCGAATAGATGCAAACTGGTAGAATCCCACCCCTGATTATAAGGAAATATGTGCTTTTATAAACTGTACTTCTATCTTTAGTCTGTTTAGATGCAGTGAAACCCTAACAGATGTAGCTCTATCTCTTTGGTTAATCTTTCCTGAGCTGAAACTTGTGAGTTAATTCTGAGGTTCAGGTTTGCAGCCCAACTATGCTGTTCAATATACCTCAATACATCATGGAACGTTACATCTCCACCGTTATGCAACCTCTCCATTTCATAGCACATGTGCTTGAACAGAAGTTTGTCCTTATCCAAATCTACCTCCAGTCTTCCACGCAACAGTCTCAACAAAAACTTGACTCGGAAAGTAGGAATTACTCCCTGGAAAGAAAGTCACAATTAGAAAATACCCACACCAGTAAAGAGCTTTATCCTTGTATTTTATTATTCTCCAAATAAATGGTTTAGCTAGTCGTTTTGCTATTATAACTACAATATGAGGTGTTTTGGAGGGCATTGGCAACAGGGTGGCTGAGGTGAGTTGCAGCAGGAGCAACTCAGATGTTGAAGTAGATGCCAAGCTGAATTCTGCTGCTGTCATTGAACCTGTCACTTGGCCAGTTCTCTCCCTAAGGTAAAAGGTATCTGGTTTCCTGGATGAGAGATAGAAGGAGGGCAAGAGTGATATTCAGAATGGCTCAGTCTGTAGATGGGAGTTAGGGCACCGTTTATATTAGTGCAGGAGTAGAATTGGAGTTATGGTCTTTGTAAACGTACTGAAGTAGGGTAGTGGCAGCTGGCTGTCTAAAATTAAGCAATGTGGTATACTAATGCAGAAGAGGCCTGAAAGAGCCAGTTCAGGCAACTGGTTGAAAAGTTATATTGTGACCTGGCTGTCAGATGGAGCTTTGTAAGCTGGGGATAGTGATGGGCCAGGGAAAATTGGGCTGTTGTGGGGGAGGGGCAGGCAGTAATGTTGGTGATAGGCAACGGGAAATAAGGCAAGAGGGATGGATTGTTCTCAAGGAAGACTGCCTTGGTGAGTCATATTGTGTTGTATTTCATATTATGGACCTTATTATGGATGGGAGGGCTATCCTAACATGAATAATAGATCTGGATGGGGAAGCAACAAAAGTTGACATAGACTTCTTCTAAGGATTTAACATTCCATTTTTACTTTAATTAATTGCTATATTTTAGCAGTTGATTCTCAGAGCAACAAGTCAATGAAGCTTATAGTATTCCAGAGAAATTTCTTACCTCCCTTTTGTCATCAACCATATTCCATATAATCTGAAAATGCCTAAGATCATTATAACTTAAGAGCTGGTCTTCCTCAGTAGAATAAAACAAAGAGAAGTTTTCCACAATTATAGCTGTATAAGACAGAAACATAAAAAAGTAAGGTCTTCCCAAGTTCATAGGTCTTTATAATTGTAAATAATTTAGATTTGTAAAATCATCAAAAGGATTTTGCCATGTGTAGGAGAAGGAGAGGCAAAGCCTGGGGGAAGAATTAAGAAAGGAATCAGGCTGGAGTCATTACGTTCCCACAAACGAAACATGTCCACCCCCTCTTAATTCAATCAACTCTTATTTAGCACCAATTTAGTGCTGACCTTATATAGATTCTTGTATAGGCATGAGCAATAAATCAGCGGAACTGATTCTTCGAGTTTTTGTACACTTGATGTACAAATGTATCATTTTAATATCATAATATACCCCCACATTTAAAAAAAATTCTGCTGTTTTCATTTGAAGCTGAATAAGCTACAAAGCAGTCTGGAACCATAATACGCTTATTTTTTTCAACTGTACATATAATGTGTTTACAGAAAGGAAATTGCAAACCTTGCGCATAACAAAGGCAGCAAAAAAATCTACAATATGTTGAAAAATCTGACATGAAAGCAAACATAGATACGTTGTTTTTCCTCTGCTAGGTCGTATTTTCTCAAAATTAATCTGCTCACCATGAAATATGAATGGGACTGAAGAAAGTCAATACAGTTAGAGCTAAAAATTGGTGAGAACACTAATTTCTCTCTGGTAATGGCCTTTATGTCTTTCTGATCCACATTTAATTCATAAATAATTTTTTCTGAGAAATCTGAACCAAACTTTTACCTAGGATGTTTGAAATTAGATCTGTGATGGTGAACCTATGGCATGCACGCCACAGGTGGCATTCGCAGACATTTGTATCGGCATGCATGCTGCAGGCAAACTTACCTCACTGGGCATGCACACGCCTCATAGCAGATTTTTGTCTGGTTTGAGGCCTTTCTTGATCTCCCAAAGACTTGAGGAAGGCTTCTGCAGCCTTTGCAGGCTGAAAAATAGCCCCGTTTTGTCACTTCTTGTTTTTCAGAAAATACCAGAAGTGATAAAACAGGGCTAGTTTTTGGCCTACAAAGCCTGCAGAAGCCTTCCTCAAGTCTTTGGGAGGCCGAAAAAGGCCTCAAACTGGCCAAAAGTCAGCTGTGAGGCACAGTGCAGGTAAGGGGTGGTGGGGATTACTCACACATGCATAGGGGGCTGCGCATTGCCTTCTGGATGCTGGCACACGAGTGCGAGCGTGTGCACAATTTTTGGCACAGGAGCCCAAAAAGGTTAGCCACCACTGGATTAGATGGATGGCAGCATGAAAAACTCAAAGACCATAGTTTGAAGTTGCTTGTACTGCTTTAAACTTTTGTGTGAGTATTTTAGGCAATGTATGGTAAGAGCCAGAAGTGAGACTCTGCTTCAGTTGCTTCTTAGGTGAAGTAAGCAGTTGTGTGATAGCATCTTCCATTGTGTTTCCAGAGACTCATCAGATCAGAAACAGAATCTCAGATATAGAAGTCATTTATGTCTTAAAGACTTCTGAAAATCCAGCAAGCTTTATGGGATGTTTACTGATTTTATTTTGGATGGCACAATTTGTTGCATTTATTAAACCATCACTAATTGTTTTTTTTTAAATTATATTAACTTTAATGAATACAAAAAATTAAAATACACAAATATACAGGCTCAAAAAACAAAGATTCATACAGAAAAATGTTACCATAATCTCTGTGGTAAAACTAATTAAACTTTCCTTCAATACATTTGACAATGATTTAAATATTTCCTAAAAATATTTCTATGGGTTCTCTATTATTTATGTTCTATTAAACATTATGTTCTGTTGTTAATATTTGTTGTTGGATTATACTTATTTATTTTTACCAAAGAATTCCTTCTATTGATTGTTTAAAGTACGAGAGAGTCTAAGACTGTGACATTAACAATTCCTGTTTGTTATTGTATGTATTGTAATCTGTTTCATAAATTTATAATAAAATAAACACTAATTGTTTTTATGATATGGTTTGCAATCAGATTATTTGTTATTTCATTTTTTTCACAGATAATTATGAGGGTTGTCAGGATTGAACAATGAATTATAAATATATAAAATTAATGCATGTGGGAGTTTGATCATACACAGAGAAGAACCAGTTAAATCAGTAGTATTTGTTAATTCTGACTGACTGAAACACTGGTGTTAATGGCTATTTTTAAGTATGACTTGCTCTTGATCAGAGGTGACATTCAGCAGGTTCTGACCAGTTCTGGAGAACTGGTAGCGGAAATTTTGAGTAGTTTGGAGAACCGGCAAATACCACCTCTGACTGGAGATTTTACAGTATCCTTCCACTGCCACGCCCACCAAGCCAGGCCCACAGAACCGGTAATAAAATTTTTTGAATCCCACCACTGGTCTTGATCAAGTCCATAACATAATTAAAACACACAATGAAAACTTTATTGCTGTATTTCATGACTGAAACTTACCCACAAGCAAATTCAACATTATGTATGCAATGATGACATAAAATGAACAGAAATACATAAGAGCACCGGCATAATTCCCACAATCTGTCTTCCAGTATGTTCTGTTATCTGGAGTACAAAAAGGAGGTTGAACCTGCATGAAAAAAAAGAGCTATATTTTATAACAGGGCTATAAAAGTAGATATGCCCCCCTCCCTCATACACACACATACAGTATTGTGAACTTCATGTTTTTCTTCCAACCAAGCATTTTCTCAACATCAGAATCAAAAATATTGTGTGTGTATGTTTATATGTATGTCAGTCACCATGAAATGTAGCAACTCAATCATTGTATTGCTTGTACAACACATTTTCTCCTTTCTTTTGCTAAAGGACTACACCATTTTCCCCTATGACCAAAGACAAAGATTATTCTGAACTGACAAGAGAGGAAGATGGATCATATCAATCAAAATGCTATTTCCAATAATGACTAAATATTCCTAAAGAATTGACAACTTGAATTGTTTGGACTGCATATTTGCATTTATATTTTTAGTTCTATTCAGCTAAACTTCATAAATAGATAAATTCTTCCTAAACAGATATATTCTTTTGATGCAAAATATATTATTCTTTTTATACAACACCCACTTAAAATGCTTCATAACCTAGAGTCCATTACCACATCACTGCAATGTCATAATTTGGGGGAAGAAAATGAAGAATTATTTCACAGTATTTCTCACTGTCTGCTTCAAAGATCTGGCAAAAAAGAACAATTCTTTATCATTGTTAATACATTCCAATGAACAGAATTGTTAATATATTCTCTAGAACTGAAAACCTGTCACTTTTCATTTTAATAAATCTAATAAAACTGCATAAACCTGATTGGGCACATAGCACACATATTTGCTAATAAAATTTGGCAAGTACATATGCATTTATTTCTATAGTATTTTCAAAAGTCAATAAATGAAAATTTGGGTGCAGGATAACATTTAAAAAATAAAATGTAAAGTATTTTTAAGATGCAAAGCTTCTGCTGGCTAAAATGATACATGATTTTAATCAGCCAATTTACCATGCAATCATGCATTATCTTGTTCCAGTCTTCTCCAGTGACTATTCTGAAAAGTACCGTGATGGCTTTACCAGCTGATGAAAAGTTGGCATGTCTGTTTTTAACAAATAAAAATTATTATTCAATATTTCACAACTAAAAACATATGCAAGCAATCCTTCAGGGTATTTGGGTAATTCTCCCCCCACCTGGCTTATACAAGTCTAGTCTGCTACCTGAAATGAATGATAAAATGGCATATTTTCCCCAATCTGCACAGAAAAGAACTGGTCTGGCATCTGAATGAGACTCCCTAGTTGGAAGTAAGGTAGTGTTTACGACATTATTTAGAGCAGCAGGATAGCTTAGATTGTTCAGAACTAGCTGTGTTACATACACCTTTCTGTCACCTGACAGGCTAACCAGTACTGCCCTGAAAATTGCTTGAATGTGTCTCTGTGGAGCTGTTTTGGATCTTAAACTTGAACCCAGTCTAGCTATTATTGATAATAAGAGGCCAAATGAAACCCCCTGTTGTTCCCCTGGCTTGCAGGTTCTGCAAATACTCAAGCTGTCACTGCAGAGTGGATCCATGTACTTGACATGCCATATAAGCATTCCTTTGATATTTGATGCTGGATTTTCTGAGACTCTCAGTCACAGATCAATAGGGCTGCCTCTCTGGTAATGTAACAACAGAGGCATCCATCAAAGCAAGGATGCTCTAAAACAAGATCACAGTATCAAATATTTTCAGATGAAGTGGTAGAAATTATACCTGTTAATGTTCTCTCCGTATTTCACAGTTCCAAACAAAACTACTCCAGCAAAAGCATAGCAAAGCAACAGTAGGAACATTCCTACAATGATGAAAAAGCTTTTGTACATGCTGACAACTACTGTCAGCAGCAGCATCTTCAAAGTCACCTGGAAATCAGTGGGGAAAAAAGGCTTGGTATAAGACATGGGTCAAAAGGGAAATGTGCTGAAATTGAAGTGGACTCTGCTCCAACCTCATTGGGATTGTTCCAAGAATGCTCTAACTTTCCTAGAACCTCCGCAACAAATCCAGGCACGGTTTCAAGCCAGCAAAATTGACATAGATTCAGAACATTGTTTTGTGAATTTGGAACTGTTCATTTTAATCTGAAAACATTTTAAATTCAACAAAATAATTACTCCAAGGTGAATATAGTGAAGTGGATTAGAATTTATTTGTGTCGGAATGTCATTGGTAAAGGTTTTGTTAATGTATTGCTGAAGATGCTTAAAAATCTTGTGTTGATGTTTATTTTTTAAGCTCTTACCATGGTGTGCAAACATTTATATAATTCATACTGTGGATGTTTTTTGTTGTAAGCTTCCGTCTGCATGGAGTTGGCAGCATGAAAACTAAACAATTTTGCATATTTCTAATTCTGATTGTGTCAGCTGTTCCTTTTTCATTATTCTTTACTTCTAGGCTATAACAGAGTATTGGTTCAAACCAATACAAGCCTCAGTTCAGTAAAATAAAGCAGTCTCACTTACTCAATGTGTAATTACTATAAACATGGGGGGAAATCCTTCTGTGTACTTACATGCTTTCCACAGATTGAAAAAAACCTGAACACAATTACACACGCTCCCATCATATATGTATAGGCATTCTGAAACACAAAGAACCAATGTTAGAAGAGTTACTAAGGATTGACTATTAATTACTCAGCATTACTCAGGATTTACTTTTGTGACAACCAGTACAGCTTTAATATAATATATTGAATGACTGAGTGTATAGTTCTTGATGTAAAAATACTCAGCATTTCATTATTCGGGTGTTATTACATGGAACTTGTTAAATAGAAATAGCTTCATATCATAAATATGACCTCATATATATAATCATGAAAATGAAGGCACCAGCAGTTCAACAGATCATCTGTTGAACCACAGATTTCTCATCCCAGGAGAACTATTTCAATCAAAATAATGGAAACTCTGACCCCGAGGCTGAAGAGAACGTGGCAAAGTCTCAGCTTGTGACTGGAGAGTCAATAAGCAGTCAGCCAACTGAGAATAATGACTCACTCAGAATGACTCAAAATCAGCACAGGTGCTCCTGATTCAGGGTACAAGAAGTCAATTCCTGAACTTAGGAGAGCAGTAAGCTAAGGAGGTTTGAGACACGGAAATCAGCACTCCTTAAGAAGGAAGGACATTTAATTCTCTAATTAGGCAAGGATTCAAACTCCAGTTATTTAAGAGTATCCTTCTTTTTGGAAACACTTCTCCATTGCTAGACTTTGTACCTGTGGCTCTTCATTCCTGAAATTGATTTTTGGCTTACAATTCTGGATTGGGCATTATAGACTGTAATGGGCCTGACTACTGGTCTGTACCAAGATCTGCTCTTCTTGGGTTTTTCTAAACAATAGCTATGTGCTTCAGATAAGAGATACTTATTCTGTAGGTCTTCCTCTGCCTAATTTACAGCCTGTAGTTCTAGCTTTACTCCCCTGATTTACAATTAAGCTAATAAAACCAAATGTGTCAGTTACTGATTCAGCCTAATCTGGAGCAATAGGGAGACAACCATTCTAAAAATCAGAGAAATTAAGATAATAGCTCTCTCCCATTCTTTGTTCCCATCCTCTGGTATACATATCCAAAAGAATATTGCTTCTGATATATAGGTTCCATAGAAATTGACTGATTTGTTTTCTTGTAATTTAAAACAATTATTCCTGTGGGATAATATAATACAGGTCTTGGCCTTCTTCTGATGGATAACTCTTCAGATACTTGAAAAGTTCTATTATATGTCCCTTTTAAGTTATTTTTGTGTTCACATAATCAAAATTTTCAGTCTGCCTATAATCCTCGTTGATCTTCTCTGCCCTTATTCTAATTTTTCTGCACCTTTGATATCATTAAGTGGAACTAGATAAAGCACTCAACACTGAGTTGACCAATACAAAATATAATGGCACTATTTCTAAAGTCATAATTTATCTTCCATGAATTTCTCAGCATTACTTTTAAAATCATGTAAGCAGCCTTTGTAGGAATACATTTCATCAAAGTATTTTTTTTCCTTACAATTGCTAACATAAAATATACATAGGACTTACAGACTTCTCTATAGTACCGATTTGACTATTAGGGAAAAATGTTAATAGGAATACTTTAGCATGAAGGAATTTTCAATTAAGTAACATTCCATTCCATGTCTGACATGGTACAGTTTATAAACAGATGTGCTACCACAATAACAACTAAGCCCAATGCAAATATTTAGTGAACTGTGTTTACTTCCTGGAAGAATTCTTTGAAAACGGAATCCCAATAATTCTAGATAAACAATTTATGGCTGCCTGAATGAACTCAGTTATAATATTAATTGAAATTACAAAAAATACTATCTTTTCAGGAATGACTATAACAAGGCAAGATCAAGTCTCAGTGAATTATACATTTTGCAGATTTGCAAAAAGAGAAAAAATATCTTGCAATCTTTGAATAGACAATGTGGTTCTTGAAACTTACAGTTATGGCAAAGTGGAGAATCACCCATATGACCCCTAATGATGTCACCAAGAGATCATAACGATTTCTTCTGCTCTGCCAAAATCCAGCAGGTGACATGGCAATAATTTTCATTGTAACCTTGCAAAAATAAATGTATATGTAATAGCTTCTCTTTGTATAACCATGAATGATTCCTCAAAGTTATGTTTGAGTAATATTCAAATGGATAATTACTGAAAATTAATTTGACTATTGGATTAAATATGTATGAGCAAAAACCAACAAGAAAATGTTACAAAATATATGTTTTACTAAAGTTTGGTTACAATTATTAGTGCAGAAAAAGAATCTTGCATTTAATGCTTGATCACTTCTTAAGGATAAACTAAATCATTTACAAGAACACAAGAAATTGGCAAAGCCTCTCTTTTTGCTGTTCATTATGATTTTAATTAACTTAACTCTATAGTGTTTTTGTCACCATCCATTAACATAGTAATGATGGAATCAAGGGACTTACAAATGTAATTAATAAATAGTATCTATATTATCTTGTAATATTCTAATGTATAATAAATGATACAAGACAAACCTAATTTGAACTTATTTATAGAAATATTGAAATATATTACCTCTAGAACAAATATGAAGGTGAAGACTACTGACATTGCAGCTAATGGACCAGTTACTGGATCTTGATCATCCCACTTATGCAAAAGAAAAAAAAAGTTTATGAAAAAAAATCTCATTTTCTTTTCTGTTTAAAATTCTACCACAATTCTTCCTGTTTATTATAAACACAATGTTTCCTTCTGTTTATACTTGTTTGTAAGTAGTTAATAAAGCACTTTAAAAGTACCTTAACAGATAATAGCACAGATTGGGCCAGTACAAGAACTGCAATGGTTCTCTTGAAAAATGGGTGTTGGGTTATGTCATACATTTTAGCTCGGAATCCATCATTATCTGAAATAAACAAAAACAAAATAGAAACAAAAGCTTATTTAGACCACAGTTTGCAATGGCTTCTAAGAATTTGCCCCCTCAATGCACATTTTTAGTTGTGAGCACGTATTAGTCAACACACTATAATATCCTTACTTTCACGTGTTAGCAAAGTAGACAGATTTGAGCCTTACAAAGAAGGCTTCAGAAAAAGTTGAGGCGCATGAGACATTATTTCTGTTAAATACTGGATTAATTAATTAAAAAATACACCCCAGAAAAGAATTAATTGATCATAAAAAGCATTTGATTGTGTTGGCCATGCCAAGATGTGGAACATCCTTAGGAAAATAAGAATCTCAAAATAGTGTTGACTTCATGAACAAGTCACACACATGATGGGAAGTCACAGTCCAGACAGAAAATGGCAAAACAGACTAGCTCTAGGATGACAAAGGAGTGAGACAAGGCTTTATATTCTCTAATTTAGTCCATCTATATGCTGAATATATATTGAAGCAGGCTTGGATGGAAGAAGATGAGTGTAGTTTTAAAACTGAAAGAAAACACATGCATAATTTGAGCTATACTGATAAAACTACCGATACCTGAAAATGCAAAGGATTGCAAGTTCTTGTTTATGAAAGTCAAGGAGCACAATGAAAAAACAGAAAGTAGGTTTAAATGCAAAGAATATAATGATAACATATACAAATTTCAACCTTAAAACTGACAATGAAGATACTGAAGTGGTAGATAATTTCTGCCTTTTAGGATTGACTATCAGTAAAATAACTATCAGTCCAGAAATACTCTATAGACTACCATTTGGTAGGATAGTAATGAAGGCCTTGGAAAAGATATTCAGATATGGTGATATGTCTATAGCTTCAAGGATCTGAAGCATGCAGGCAATAGTTTTCTCTATGACATTCTATGGAAATGAAAGCTGGATTTGAAGAAGCAGGATAGAAAGAATATGGATGTTTTTGAATTCTGGAGTTAGAGAAGACTCCTGAGGATATCAGAGAACACGGGACATAGAATAATAGGATGGAAGGGACCTTGGAAGTCTTCTAGTCCAATCTTCTGTCCGTGGCAGGAGGTCCTATACCATCCCAGACTTCCTTTGGGATTAATGGGATGAATACACACAATCATAGAAAGAATAACAAACTAATAGAACAGAATGTCTGTGGAGATTCTCAGTGACTCAGGTCAGGGTTGTCCCAAAGGTGCTTTTTAAAAAGGCAACTGGACATTTGCTTGAAGACATTTCATTTCTCATCCAAAAATCTTCTTCAGAACTGAAGAAGCTTCTTGGATGAAAAGTGAAATGTCTTCAAGGAAAAACGAAGGCCAGCTGCCTTTTGAAAAGGCAACAGAACAGAAACAAAACAGAATAACACACTTGGGAAGAACCTCAGAAGTCCTCCAGTCCTAACCCTCTGCTTAAGCAGGAGATCCTATACCATTTCAGACGAATGGTTGTCCAATCTCTTCTTTAAAACCTCCAGTGACAGAGCACCCACAATTTCTGGAGGCAAACTGTTCCAATGGTTAATGGTTCCCACAGTCAGAAAATTTCTCCTTAGTTCTAGGTTGCTTCTCTCCTTAACAGTTTTCATCCATTGCTTCTTGTCCTGCCTTCAGGTGCTTTGGAAAATAGGTTGACCGCCCTCTTCTTCATAACAACCCCTCAAATACTGGGACAGTGATATCATGTCAACAAAAATGGATCATAGAACGAAATGATCTAGAATTCTTACTCTGGACACAAATGATAAGGCTCAAATTACACTATTTGGGCCTATTATGTAAAAGACCCAATTCCCTTAATTAATGATGGGTAAGATGGAAGGAAAGAGAATAGGATGCCCAGCAACAATATGAATGACTCAGTTATAATGGTGATGAGTGTGTTGCTGGAAACTTGAAAGATCATTTTGGGAATGATCATCCCGGAGGTCTTTCTATATGGTTGCTAAGACTCAATTTTAAGTTGACGGCACATAATGACTCAAGCTTTTGTTCAGTATGCCTTATCACTTAGTGATTTCATTATCTCTTGAATCTGAATTTTAAAAATCTAGATACCTGGGCGTGGTGGGAGGTGAAGAGGCTGTGCTATCTTTAATCTGCTCTTCAGATCTTCCCATCGCCTCTGGTCAACTGTTAGTAGAGCTGTTCCCTAAAAAAAACAGGAACCATTACCACCAAAACATATTTGCTTATTTCTTATCATATTCATTATTGGAATGAATAATTGTTAGGGAGTCTTTCACTAGAAACAGTGCTCTGTTTTACTTCTGCTTTAGTGGTTGTTACCTAATACCTGTGTGTGTGTGTGTGTTTTGTCCATTTTTAAAATTTAGAATCTTAAATCAAATCCAGGTTGCCTACTTGTTAAAAACAACCAGAGGGGGAAAAATGCTTACAGCAAGGCTCAGAAATGTTATACTTAACCCCATTATTATAAATTAGTCCTGAAAATACTTAGGTATACACTAATATTGCATGTGATGCAAAAAATAATTTCATAATTAAAATAATATTCCTGGTGTTTAATATAAACATAACTATATGTTAGCTCAACAATATTATTTAATTACATATAAAAACAATTAAAAGCAACACAATATAGACATGATTAGAAAAATAGAAAATCTGCAGTGTTACCTTATTTTCATTGAAATTAGCAATGACAACTCCAACAAAAAGGGTGAGTCCAATCATGCAGCCCAGGAATACAAAAACATGAATGTAGATGCCATGAATCTGCAACATAAAATGTTATCAATATTACATTTTTCTTATTAATAAGAATTCACAGGAAAAATCTGACAAGTCCTACGAATTTGAGGAATATACTTACAGGGCCCACACGATGAATGATAACATCTCTGACTTCTACCCACCCCTTTAATGACAGGACTTCAAATAATGCCAGCATTGCATTACCAACATTATCAAAGTTAAAGTTTCGAGGATTAGCCCTGCAATACAACACAGAAATGAGGAGTAATAACAATGTCATTTGCTGACAATATATCCTAAAACATTGCCAGGTTAGTAACCTGTTACTCCCTGATGTAAGTGACTCTCTTGTTGAAGCCTCTCCTGAAATTCCCTCCATGCCATTGATCTTCTGTACTCCATAATTTTGAAAAAAAGAGTCTTTTTTCGGGGGTGGGTGGGATGTTTGATGGGAAGAAGCTGACAAATGACAACTCAACAGAATTAACCAATGTGACTACTCTGTTTCTCTTTTGTTATTTACCCTACAATAATAATATCTAGGTATATTGTCTTTTGGATGAAAGCAGAAGTGGTATTCAGCAGGTTCTGACCAGTTCTGGAGAACCAGTAGCGGAAATTTTGAGTAGTTCGGAGAACCGACAAATACCATCTCTGACTGGCCCCACCCCCATTTATTCTCTGCCTTCCGAGTCCCAGTTGATTGGCTGGGTCTTATTTTGTTGCCCTGCACAGGAGAACGGAGCTGGAAAGCAGGTTAGTGGGGTGGGGAGGGAATGGAGATTTTGTAGTATCCTTTCCCTGCCACACCCACCAAGCCACACCACGCCCACCAAGCTACGTCCACAGAACCGGTAGTAAAAAGTTTTGAATCCCACCACTGGATGAAAAGCACATTCCAATATGGTTATTGAATTTAAAGATTTGGGATTGGAAATTATCATTCCATTGGATTAATCTACTGGAGTAATTCTATTAATCAACTCTAACAATAAATCTATATTTAAGGCCAAAAACACATTACTTACCAGACTCGAGGCACCCAAAATCCAGGCTTTTTTTCACCAGGTCTTAGCTTCAAATTCAGATTTTTGGAAACACTTACATTTATTCGGAATATACCATGACAATCTTCCTGTCGGGAATATAACATCACATTTGCTATAGAAACCAAAATTTTAATATATCACAAAAACACACTCTAAACAGATAAGCGTTATGCCTCAGTTTAGGGAACCTGCCAGTTATGTTCAGGAACGCAGAGAAGCTAATCTGTGCACGAAGAAGACAGAACTTATGGTGAGAAAATCTTTGCCAGACTTTTAGCAATATTTTCTTTGACTGAGACCAGTATTGTGAGTAACAACAGATTTACAGTACCAGTCACCTACTTGGAGGTTTGGAAGAATAAATCTGGACTCTGGAACTCTTTCAGCTAAACTGTTCCCTCTCAATGCTTCAATTCTTACATGCTGGGGAAGGTACAATTATTGGAGTTTACCATGAGAGGACAACAAATTCAGAAATATTTTCAAACAAATGAAACAGATATAAGTGACTTGACTTAATAGAACATATACTTTCACTTCTATGTCTTTTGGGGGGTTTCTACATAATATCACCATAAATTAAGCCTCATCAGTTGATGAAAACGTGCAAAAGAAGAAAGAGGAATTTATCTAAGTACATAAAAGTTACTCTTACTCTTGCAATTATATGAGGATCATTGCACTTAGCCAATTTCCCAGCAAAAAGTTGAACTCCAAAGCTTGCAAAAACAAGCATTAATGTCAATAAAAGGATTGAAACCTGAAAAACAAAAAAAACATGAAAAGGAGTCAAACCTTCTCCAGTGCACCTGTATTTTTTTCTTACATTTTTAGAACAATAATCGCTACGCGATGGCTTCCATTACAAAACTGTAAGGAAGGAGAACTGGTTACTATAACTGTGTTTAGGATGGCAGCTGAGTGATTTCTTTTCCATGTTTTCTCGTCCTTCTTTTCATATGTCTTGCATATAAACCACTGTTAAATGTCTGAGCCTCTGTGTGCTGTGTTTTGCTCCTGGGTTGTTGTCTCACAATAGTTGTCACGCTGCAAACGCTTGGACAAAAATATATTTGGAAAGAGAAACCATACATAATACTCACTAGAAAGATTTCTTTGAAGCCGCTAAATAGTTCCCGAACAACTTTTCTCATCTGAGGCACCAGTTTAAAAATCCGAAGGGGCCGAAGACACCGTAGAACCATTAGCAGCTGAGCTCCTGATTTAGCAGGAACATTTTGGGGCATCCAGCAGAGAAATATCAGGCTTACCTTTGGAAAGGGGGGAAAAGGACCTGGAATGTAATGTGAGTTTTAAAATGTGCTTCGTACATACATACGTTACGACCACAAAAGGAGCCCAACATTTCTGTTGTTAAATGAGACGTTTGTTAAGTGAATTTTGCCCCATTTTACGACTTTCCTCGCCTCAGTTGTTAAGTGAATCACTGCAGTTGATAAGTTGGTTAACTGGTTGTTAAGTGAAACTGGATCCCCCATTGACTTTGCTTGTCAGATGGTCGCAAAAGGGGATCATATGACCTGGGACACAGCAACGGTCATAAGTATGAACCAGTTGCCAAGCGCCTGAATTTTGATCACATAATCATGGGGATGTTGGAAAGGTTGTAACTGTGAAAAACGGTCATAAGTCACTTTTTTCAGTGCTGTTGTAACTTTGAACAGTCGCTAAATGGACTGTTGTATATCGAGGACTACCTGTATAGGAACTGATCCAATTTATTTCATTAAGACTTGAATAAAACCTATTCTTAGCAAAGGATATAAGGATTAAAATATGTACGAATATACAGTATGTATTATATATTAATATATGAGACTATTAAAATTACTGATTCTAAAGGAGAGAGGCACAAAATTATTGTGTATGCTGTATTTCCTTCTGTTTTACTTTTTCTGGAGGATTATATTGAATTCAGAGTTGGCTACTCTTTGAATAAGCAAGTCATTTAACACAACATGCCTTATTTAATAATATATGCATGCATTGTATTTTGTTTTATTTAAAATATTTATGTAGTCCTTCCAATTTGAAAAAAACAATCAAAGCCAATTCAAATAATGCAAGACTATAAAGCATGAAAGAAATGACATTAGAAAACTGAACTCTTGGATCAAATGGATTGTCTTGGTCTGTTTCAGATCTAAATTTAGCAGAAAAACAGCCTCAATGAATGAATGAATAATTGGCCAAGTGTGATTGGACACACAAGGAATATGTCTTGGTGCATATGCTCTCAGTGTACATAAAAAGAAAAGATTCATTCATCAAGAATCATAAGGTACAACGCTTAATGACAGTCATGGGGTACAAATAGGCAATCAAATCATACTAACAAACAGTCAATATAACTTGAAAGGATACAAGCAACAAAGTTACAGTCATACAGTCACAAGTGGAAATTAGAAATCCTGATGCGTCATTTACATTGGAGAGAGAAAGATGGAGGATTGCAAGTAAGTTTATTTTCCTAGAATATACTCACTCATAGCAGTTTGTGACATTTTTGATCGTGGTATGCTGTTGTGGCACTTGAATGAGTTGCCAACTGGACATGCTGCTTTGTAATGGCAACTCATCTACTCACTGGGTGCAATTCGATGCTTTGGATATTGGTAGATCCTTCAAGATAGCTCCAAGAAAGGCAAGCAGAGGTTTCCCAATATCCAAAGACAATCAACCAGCCCAAAAGAGAAAAAGACTCCAGCACTTCTCCACCAGTAATCAGTATTCCAATCAGCATAGATTAACACCAAGTTTAACTTTAGACCAACAATCAAGTAAGCAATACCCCAATCAAGAAACTGCCCAAGAGCCATCAGTAAACAGCCCAACCAAAGAATATCTAAGACTGCCCCCACCTACAGGCAGGACACCAAAGTATAAACTGACAGCAAACAGCACTCCTTACTAGCACTGATGATGTTACCTAGTTAGGGTAATGAAATGTCTGCAGAAAACAAGCAAGCTTAGAAATAAGATTTGTTTGGCATCATCTATTTTTGATGAACCCATGTTGGCTATTGGTTAGGGTTTACTTGCTTCTAGGTGTTTGCCGATTTGTTGCTTGATTATTTTTTCAGATATTGTGGTTAAGCTGATTGGTCTGTAATTTCCTGAATCTTTCCCCCATCTTTTTTGAAGATTGGGACCACATAAGCTCTTTTCCAGTCCTCAAATGCTCCAAGAACTTTAAAAGATATGATTCAAATGTTCTGAAATCACATCTGCTGGTTCTTCCAGAACTCTGGGATGTAATTCATCAGGACCCAGTGAATAGAATCCCTCTAGAACAGACAGGTGTTCTCTTATCTTATTTTTGCATATTTTAATTTGCATTCCTAGCCTGTCTTTTAAGGTTTTGTTTTGTTTGTAAGGTTGGTTTGTATTTTCTTTTTGCATGAAGAAGATGCAAATAATGAATTAAGCAGCTCTGCTTTCTCTCTACTGCCCATTACTTCCTTGCTATCTTCTCCCATATGTGGGGCAATTGTTTCTTTGTCTTGTATTTTATGTGTTGAAAGAAACTTTTAAAATTTGTTTTTGACATTTGTTGCAAGTCTTACTTTGTTATGAGCCTTAGCTTACTTAACTTCATATTTGCAAGTTTAGGCTATTTGCTGGTTTTCTGCTTTAGATATTTGTCCCTCTTTCCATTTTTTGTACTTATATTTTTTTCGTTCAGTTGAAGGAGCCATATGGATTTTGCACATTAAAAATGATTCCTTTATCAACTTTATCCTGATCTATAGAAAAGAAATCTGGAATTTATACGGTGATAATTGCAAGGCTGAATTGCTGCAAGGAACATCAATGGTGAACAAGCTGCATTGTCATTGATGCAAGCCCTATCTTTACAAGCTTTTAGGAACAGATGATCCTAGCCTTTATTTCAAAAAATGTTGTAATTTTTATATTATTTATTTTACCTTTTAAGAGTAATATGGGCATTGAGCAGCATAAATCTTTAAACCAAAGAAATCAATGAAAAAGACATTTTACAAATCTGGCATTAAATTGAGGAAGAGAGGACACAGAGATTTAGTTATTACAATCTAGTTTACTAATGTAAAAATATACATCCATGGACAAGAACATAATTACCCAAGAAAAGGGAATAAAACGCCCCGAGAGTAAGAATATTATGAGAGAAACGTACAACAGCAAAAACATACTACTAAACAATGTCCTCCGCTCCCTCTCCTTTAGTGGAATAATACAGTGTTTGAGAATGATAAGAGTATGTGCAGATTAATATTTTCAATTCACAATTCCATTTTTTTATTCCCCCCCCTCCATATGAAAATAGATGGAAGCTGTGGAAAGAAAATACAGAATACAGCCAAGATGTTATGGTGGCATCAATGCTGTTCCTGTGCCCTTCGCACTCAGAAAGAAGTCTATGAAGGAGATCTGGCACTTGCAAAATAAAACCTTTAGTATCATGATGAAAATAACATACTAATAAAACAATGGAACTTCTTCGTTTATTTTACATATCCATAGTCTCCAGGAAGTATATTTTTGCAAATATGTTAAGTCTAATTGTTTATTTATTATCAATATTCAGTTGAAGGTACTCAGAACTTTGTATGAAATTGATGTCAATATGGATACAAATTATTTTTAACTCTTATCATAGGTTCTACTTTTACTGCTTTGAATTAACCTTAAGAACAAACAAAACTTACAAGGTATATAAAAATATCCATGACACCTCCAAAATCTCTGATGACTGCCGTTGGTGTAAAAAACAATCCATCAGCCATAATCTTCAAGTTAAGTTCAATACTCATAAATATTACAAAAACATATTCTGCAATCTGAAAAACAAAGAAAAAACACTGACAGAATAACAGTAAGGTTTCCAAAATACTATATCCAAACCAATTATTTTCAGAAAATTACCTGTAAAGTAGGTGCATGCATTACTCTTCGAAAAGGGGATTCAAACATCATTGAAATACAGGAACATATGGTGACAATGATCATTACCCAGTCTAGATAAGTAACCAATCCCAGCAAATCACTGCAAAATAAAATGGAACAAACTAAGTGGCAATGACACTCCAGAAATTATAAATATCAGTCAAACATAAACTAGACTAGTGAAAATGGAGAATCTTTCACAATGTTGACATCTTAGAAATAATTACTCTAAGAAAACATTTTCCAGGGAAATATGTTTGCAAAAAAAGTGTACATCAATATAAAATGCATAAATTCATTTTTGCTTACTAAAGTTGATGATACTTTGTATTTTTAACTGCTCCAGTAACAGGATCTGTTTTAGAGCTGTAACAGAGAAAAAAATGTTTAATGTCGTTCAATTTTTATTATACAAAGCTGTATTACAAATATACAAGACAATCTGCATCTGAAATAAAGAGTAATTTTTTAAATAAACAACATTACAAATTTATACCTATTGGGGGGATTGAACATTTTCATTTATGATCCCACAAGTCACAGAAATTTGCTAAAATGTCATACCAGTTTCTTAAATCTAATGTTAATACGATAATATGAAACAAACCTACTCTCTAGTAAACAATTTGGTTTCAGGAAAAAACGATCATGTAATCTGCAAAAACATATGGACTACACAACTTGATGAGGGCAAAGCAACAGACACAATCTACATAGACTTCCGTAAAGTCTTTGATTCAGTGGTACATGACAAACTACTCCTAAAACTAAAATCTTACAGTATCTCTGGACACCTGCATAACTGGATAGAAGCATTCCTGTCAAACAGACAACAAATGGTCAAAATTGGGAGCGTCCTATCAAATTCTGTACCTGTCAATAGTGGTCCCCCAAGGCAGTATTTTAGGACCAACTCTCTTCATACTTTACATAAATGACCTCTGTGATCATATCAAGAGCAACTGCTGATGATGTAAAACTATTCAACACCACAGACAATACTGGTACCCTTCAAAAAGACCTTGACTATGTATCAGAATGGTCAAACAAATGGCAACTTCAAATCTCAACAAATAAATCCTCTGTCCTACATATTGGCAAAAAAAATATATATCAGAAAATAAAATACAGGCTGAATAGTCAAGACCTTGTTGACGATCCAAACTCTGTCAGGGATCTTGGAGTACTCATCTCAAATGACCTAAGTGCTAGAGCCCACTGTAACTACATAGCCAAAAAGGCATTAAGAGTTGTTAACTTAATCTTACATAGCTTTTTCTCTGGTAATATTACACTAATAACTAGAGTATACAAAACATTTGCTAGACCAATACTGGAATATAACTCATCAGTCTGGAACCCACATTATGTATCTGATATTAACACAGTTGAGAAAGTCCAGAAATATTTCACAAGAAGAATTCTCCACTCCTCCAGACTCATTGCAGAATACCTTATGCCACCAGACTCGAAATTCTAGACCTAGAAAACCCAGAACTACACTGCCTTTGGTCCAATCTAAGTATAGTATATAAAATCATACATTGCAATGTCCTACCTGTCAATAAATACTTCAACTTCAACCATAACAATACAAGAGCAAACAATAGATACAAACTCAAGGTTAATCGCACCAAACTTAATTGCGGGAAATACGACTTCAGCAACAGAGTGGTCAATATCTTGAATACTCTACCTGACTCTGTGGGTTCTTCCCCAAACCCAAAAAACTTTAACCTTAGACTGTCTACTATTGATCTCACCCCTTTCCTAAAAGGTCTGTAGGGGGCATGCATAAGCACACCAACGTGCCTACTGTCCCTGTCCTATTGTTTCGTTTATTTTTTTTATTTTTCTTATATGTATCTATGTATTCATAACTATGTTTTTACTTATACCTATTATCTTGTGAGCAATTGACAAAAATAAATAAATAAATAAAAAATAAAGATATAGTTTAGATTTAGACTTAATTTTAAAACAAGGTGACTATTAGGCACTGAGAATATATAAGGACAAATTTTATCTCTTTAATTAACAGCTATATTGGCTATCCAGTAATGGATATGTGAATTTGTGATATTTCTGAATCTTCTGAAATATCAAGACAATTTATATTGTATTTTATACTTTTAGTTCAAATGGTGCCGTCCAATATATTGTTTTGGATCTCTGGGAATCGATGTTCCAGTCCCCCTGGAGAGAACAGGATGGCAGCAGGTATTCTCTCGCAGTTCCAAAGTTCGCATGACTCTGGGTTTGCACCATACCACTTCTGTTTAGGTTGTCTTGATTATCCCCAAAATAATATTTGTTTTAGCTGAGCACATGCAGTTTCCTCCTTCAGGAATTTATCAGGGAGGGCTTTGGCATCCAGGCATACTGCTGACTGACTGGAAGGTTTGGGAGAACTGTAAAGTATCAGCGGCAACATTTGAAATCTTGCACAATATTCAAATGGGTGTCAAGGACAACCTGCATAGAAGGCATCGTGACATTCACATCCCTGAATTCATTTGCAAGTTTTGGAAAACAACAATAACATTATTTTGTCACTTTATGCACTAGGAGTGGTGCACTGGCCTAGAGGTGGAGCTCTTGCCTCACAATCAGGAGGCTGTGAGTTTGATCCTAGGTAGAGGCAGATATTTCTCTCTCTGGGCACAATGAGAATATATCTGCTGAACAAAACTCTGTATTGGCAACAGGAAGGGTATCTGGCCAGTTAACACTCTGCTAGCTCCATTCAGTTGCCCAGACTCCATCCCGCAAGGGATATGGGGTTGTTAAAAGAAGAAAAAGATGACGATGTAACAAAAGCAGTGCACACAGATCTTCCAGTTTCTGTTTGAAAGAATAAAACAAATAATAAAACCAAGAAAAATTTGCAAAATATGTAATTGCTGGATATATTAAAATGCCTCTGATTTGCTACTGGATTTTAATAACAGAATATAGTGAATCAAAATAAGTGAATCAAATCATAAGCTACACATATACTTACGCATTAAAGCGAGCTCTAACTACAACTCGGCAGAAATTCCTAAATCTGTGTTCCCGACCGACTATGAAAAGAGGCTTGTCAAAATAGGGGTGATTCTCCCGCAACTCTTCTTCCTGAACTTTTCTTTCAAGAACAACAGGATTACAGAGTCAGCAATCAATATATACATTTTTTCTAATTTCTTTAGGATAGCAGCAATATCACAGTATAGTATAATTGAGACAGTGTTAAATGTGGGCTTCAGAAAGCCTCTGGTCAGCTACAATGATTATTCACTGGTTATTATCAAGTAGCTGAGAACTAAACAGATGCAAAGAGCTCTATATGCAAAGACCCAGAGGGCAAACCTACAAGATTTCAATGCCTACGTTCCCTTTCTATGTGAAAAGTTCACAGAATTGTTGAGAAGCTGTAGCTGCTTCTCAGTGAAAGGGCCATCTTGAAGGACCACCTACGTGGAGCAATAGTAGAAAGTGCTCTTGAACAAGAAATGGTTCTTTCTTGAGAGATCTTGAACAAGAGTTCTAAGAATCTCTTAAACTAGAACTTGTTTGTTGCTTGACAGTAGGGAAACAATCACACTGATGATGTTGCCTAGTTGGGTAATGAAACGTCTGCAAGTAAACAATGAAGCTCAGAGAGCCCCAAGGACTCCATTATAGTGGTTATGGGTGCACTATTGGAAGATGCAAAGGACCAGGTTTGTTTTGAGGACAATCCAGCAACGTGGTTACTAAATTTGATACTAACCTGATGGTACATAATCAGTCAACTAACACTTGTGAGGCACATTGGAAAAGTACTGGAAAAGCAGGTATAATATAGAAAAAAAATCAAGCAAATCCTTGTTTTATTTAACTATATGCTTGCTGTTTCTTCCCCCCAGATTCGCATAGCTTTTCAGCTACCAGTTCAAAATCAAAACCACCAACAACCATCTTCTTCCTTGAGATGGAGATTATACAACTGAGTATCATTCAGATATTAGTGATATCTCCACCCACTGTTGACACATAACCTTTCCAAATAGTGACTTCATGTAGACCAAGGGTTCCCAACTTTTGGATTGTGCAGACTGGCAGCTGAGGTGGTTTTGACAGTGGGAGAATGTTTCATGTGCATAATCTAAATCCTGTGCATGCACAAATGAAGCCTTGTGTGCTTGCCCACTGCTTTGGTGGTTCGGTTCCCAAAGGCCAGCAGCCCAGTAGTGGTCCATGGTCTGGGGGTTGGGGACTCCTGATGTACACCTTAAGCTTTAGGGAGGAAAAGGATGGTTACTTCCACATAGCTCTCTACTTTGGAGTTCTTGTAAAGTTGACCTATTCCCCAATCACTGACTAAAAGCAGTCTTCAAGGAGGAGAACAGAGTAAGACAGTGTTTTTCATAGGCAACTTTCAAGGTTCAGAAGGATACCATAATCAATTGAACTAAAGGCTGTTGGGAGATTCAGTAAGAGTCAAGCAAGTTGCACTCCCCCACTGCGATTCCACCATCTCTTGGAATGATCAATGCAATTTCCAACCTGTAACCAGCCCTGAATCCTGACCAACAAACATCCAGGTAATTTTTAGGATTTTCTGTGGCTAAGTACTATCCTAACCTCTTTCCATAAAGAAGTTTGAACCCTGGATGATAATAGCTTAAGTATACCACTAGGTGTTATGATTGCAAGATGTATGTCCAGCAAAGAATGCCCCTTTTTAAATGATGCTGGCCTTTGAGATTTAAGCATATTATCTACAAAGAAAATATGCTTGCTTCCACCCATTAGCAATTTGTGCAGATGTAATCAATCTATCAATGGAATAACCAGTTCAAATTCACTAAGTAATCATTACCTAACTGGGGTTCAGATTGGTCCTATATACATACATAAAAATTACATTTAAAATACCTTTTCATTTCTGCTTGTTCTTTCTTTTCTTGGATCATTTTTATTTCACTGTCTTCCCTTTGTGCATTTCTGTACCTCACTGTATTAGAATGCTGGAAGAAAAACGTTTGTTTAATCTGTTTTCTATTTTTTACTATAAAAATTAACAGTATGCAATTGCATAAAACCTTTAAAAGAGAAAAAGTAAGTTTTTAATCTAGGTTGAGAGAAAATAACTATCAGTAATTATGACCAGCTATTTATTGTTCAACGTTTTCTCTACCATTCTACATTTTAATTATTGCAATGGTCCAGTTAAATTTAAGCATGTTTGAACGTATTACTGAGTTTAATATTAATTCAGCACCAAGTTAGTTATTATTTAACTAGACATTGCATTTAATTTCTATGATTGATAATAATAGGTCTTAAGCAACAAATTATTATAATTAATGAGCAAGGAGCAATCCAATAAAATAAAACAAATGGCCCTCGCTTGGTAGAAACAAGAATGCAGCCATTCTGAATATTACAGAAAGCTGAGATAGCAAAAATGCATAGCAGTGTTTTGAAATGAAATTACTGAAAATGTAAGAAGCAGGACAGATATTTTGATAAAATTTCCAATTGCACAGCTTCAGGCTATTTTATCCATGTCCCAACTACATTGTTTAAGATATTATTTAACTTAAATGCCATAAAAGATGGTGAAAAGCCAGATAGCCTTAGTTTCTTCAGAGTTGATCCACTTGGAAGGATGTCGATTATAGATTAGAAGGTTAAGAGAGCATTAGAATAGCTTTAGGCATGAAAAGTCTACTTTGTCACAATTGGGGTTCTAGAGAATAAGGCTGGCTTTACTCTAAAGCAGCACTTGGGACGCAGTAGAAAGATCCCAAGATGTCTCTCAGAAATGTGCATTGGTGTTTTTTCAAAATGTATAAATATTTATAAGCACAGGACTTAACTATTTTGTCCTGAAATCACCAAAAGGTTGAGGATGTGAGGGCCTCTAATTAGACAGAAAAAACCCACACATTGTAGATAATGACCTTGGCTTTTTGTGTGTGTAACATGATGGATTTGATGTCATGAAATATGCCCGGACTACCTCATTGGTTCTGAACATGCTTACTAATGTTCCATTTACAATTAATATATTTGACAGGAACTTAAGTTCAGCTTTGATTTAATTTATGGTATATCTTTTTTTTCCTCACAATTAGGTGTGAAGGACAAGAACACTTGTCTTAATCCCACCACTGGGAAGGAAAGAATAGGCAGTATCATCTGCATAAAGTAAGACAAAGATTTGTCTACTGGCCAAATATGATGTCTGTCTGTATGCTATATGCAATTTTGCTAATGAGAAACAGCTGTCATCTTGCCCAAGTAGTATACCAGGAAAGATGTAATGGATTATTATGAATTCTGACTCAGCTGGAGATGTCTTTTATCCCAAATTATAATTCCCAGGAACGATTTACTTGCTCATTTGTGAACTGAGATTCAGTAACTCTGTAATTTGAAATTACTGTGAATACTGTTTTTGTACTCCAAAGGATCATTTCACAAAATAATACACTCAAATGGAACACCAGCATTACAGAGTTTTAATCCAAGGTATTTTAAACTTCATTCTGTTTTTAGTTTTACTTAGGTACGACCCAGACTATTCACTTAAACTTACATCTTGAGTTAATGTTTCAAGAGACTTTCCTCTGCTGATTCGTTGACTGTTGGAACCGTGCCTTAGTGACCTGAAATAATGACATAGATTTGGTGAAAAAACTGAGATCATTGAGTGTGTAGCAGTGGGACAACAAACTTTGCAATTATGGGTTTGATTTTGCATTACACTCAGCTGCATCTTGCTTTTTACAATTGGTGACTTTCTGATGCTTTGGATTACAATTCCTACATCAGCTGGGAATCGTGATAGCTGAAGGTCAACAGATATTAAAGGTGCTAAATTAGGGAAGTAAGAAGTTGTATCTGCAGTGCAGAATTCCTAGTTGTACTAATCCAGAGAGATGCTGGAACACTTCTTTTTTTCCCTCTTTTTAATGGATTTTCTCAAGAGAGACAAATGATTTAAAAAGTGATGATGTGAAAAGTAGAAAGGTTAACTAAAAAACTACACTACTGAACTAACTGATAAACCTGTGAGGGTTGTTGAACAATAAAGGTCATGATTGGGCCAGCCTGTTTATAGAATTTTTTTCCTGACTGTTTTCCTGTTTTCCAGAACTTAGATATCTTGAAAGCAACTATATGAAATATAAGAGTTTTCAATTATGATGAATGTCATTATTATTGCAATAAAAGTGCAGCTATTATTTATTATGATCTAATTCTAATTTACTCGTTGTGTAACAAGAATTTTATCTTCTACTTTGAACATGTTCCTAAAAGTTTTTATTGAGTTCTGTTTACCTGCGTTCTTGGCGTATATGATGCTGAACACTAAGAATAGATCGTTCTTTTGCAGGCTGTCCTTCAAAAGATCCACTAAGCATACGCTGACGGGTGCAGGCTCTAGGTAAACAGATACGTAAGTAATAGATAAGTAATAATTAGGGATATACAGCATTTAGGAAATGCATTTCAGAGTTTGAATGGAAATAGTGTGCAACTTTTTAAAGAACCTACATAATTATCTGGGATCATGGAAATGGCACAGTTGTCTTAAAGAGTTCTAGACTTACACCTGCACCATCATGCTCCAAAGTATTGTTTTAAAATTGAACTTGGAACATACATAGCCAGGAAATTGCACACAGTACTTCTTTGGTCTTTTTAGTTGTCACATAGTGTTCATGCAGCCCTCAGGAAAGATAGGAGACAGCTTTCTCAAACATTATCTATGCAAGGGATGGAAAGGTTTGAATAATAAATGCCATTTTTCAAGATAGGATGAAAAGAGCTAGGTCAAGACTAATTCACTAAGTCAGCTGTCAGTAAGTCTCACCAATAAAATGACAAGCTTCTCCATTTTGCCTCGCTCTTGATTTAGACTTAGCCATTGTGTGGAACTTGGATCCCAAGCTGTGAACCGTGATGGATGCATTTTACATTGCTTTCATTTTACATGAAACCTACTCATAATGAAAGGAACTTCAAATCCCTCTTTAATACCTAAGAATTTTATTGATTGCAGACTCCTTCTCCAGAAGATTTCTTGCCCTAATGCTGAAAACAGATTTGCGAAGCTGTAAAAGAAAAGGAAACCAACTTTATTGACAGTCTTAGTACTTAAGAGTATGCAGTTTAAAACCTTAGCTATTGAAATCAAATGGAAGCAGTGTAACACTATTATGGTGAACCAAGAGTTATTTGGACTTCATCTGGAAGATGATTTGGGACCAATAATTTTAGGGTAATTTTTCTATTCTATACCATATAGTATACATGATACCATATTTTCTATGCATATACCTTAGTATACCGACATATTATGCTCATCATTAGTAAAAAGGCAGGAAATAAAGCCCATGTATAAATAAGTACAATTATCAATGGTCATCTATAAATTATCTAGGCAGTTTTATGACAAATTAATAAGTTTTCTCTTTCAAAAATGAAAAGGACAGTCCTGAAATGATAAAATATATCAGAATCTTCCTCTGGTTTCCAATCTGTATATTCAATATTGTGAAATCTCAACATGTGTGGCTAATTGTCCCATATGGCAAGTTGGCCACAGCTAATCATACTGTAGTGAATTGCCCAGGGCAATGTGGCAGGGCACAAGCTGCAGGCAATGAGTGGCAGGGGAGGATCAGCAGGGGAGGGACAGATGGGGAAGAAATGGGTGGGTTGGCCAGAGGAAGGGAGCTGGGGTGAAGTGGGTGGGGCCAGGCAGCTGCGGCCAATTGTCCCATTGTAGCACCAGTGGTGGGGATTTTGTAGGGTTGTGGAAATTTTGCATCTAAAGAATTCAGAGCCTTATCTTCCACTATGCTCTTCAGTAAGAACAGAACAGAATATAACAGAATAGAATATAACAGAACATAATTCTTCATTGGCCAAGTGTAATTGGATACACAAGGAATTTGTCTTGGTCCAAATGCTCTCAGTGTATACAAAAGAAAAGATACATTTGTCAAGAGTCAAGAATAAGGACTCTGACTTCTACTATGCCGGTATGTTGTGAATATGATGCTGGAATTCTCCAATGAAACTTTGCTCGTAGAATTATATTGCAGTCTCCTTTGAAAGAAATATTACATCTAATTTACATGCATACTCTGAACATTCTGGGGATTTAGTATGTTAATATGTACATTGAAAGATACTTGAAAGATCTTCACAAGAATTACACCACAAACTTTTATTGAAATATAGATCAGCAGTTCTTTTTATTTTTAATGCCAAATCTTCCAATGTTTATTTTGTAATGCACTAAATCCAGTTCTATGGACATAGAACATACTTGCCTTTAAAAAAAAACACTGATTAAGAGAGAAAAATCTGCCAGACCTATAAGGATTATAAACTTGCTTCAAGGAAGGCAGATGGTTTTAAAAGAAAGACAAGATAAACATACATTTGATATATGAATGGGGAAGCTCATATTTGACAATAACCCAGACATCATAAAAATAAATGCATTTCTATATGAAAACATGAATGTAAAAAAGCAATGCTGTTGATAATGAGGATAATAATAATGCTACAAATATAGTTTGTAAGAAAAAATGCAAAACTTCAGAGAATGAAAGGCCACATAAAGGCTGCTTGATTATCAAGCATGATTTAGCTTGATAAATCAATTTATAATCTAATATAAATTAAAGTATGGTTGCCAAACTGAATGAAATGATATTTGGTTTCCAGCAAGCATACTCAAAATATTACATGAGTTATTGAACTGACTGGACTGTGTGGATTAGAATTTCTATATGGAAATATTGTACAAAACCTCCTGCACAAGACTTTTCTCATTAACTGGGGTTTTTTTCAATGGTATCTAGAACTATGTCGCTTCAGTCTTAGAATAGAGAGGAGGGGGAAGAGGAGGAGGAGGAGAAGGGGAGTGCAAAGCTTCAGATTCAAAGGCAAAATGATCCCCCCCTCCGTGTGTGTGTATGTGTGCATGTGTGCCAGCAAAGCACCTACAATATCTGCAACTGCTTAAACCAAATGCATCTTTTTCCAGGATGGTGAAGCAGCTGCAGAAGATACACCAGAAAAAGATGCAGTTATTTCTTGGAGTTGCAGATTGATACTGTATTATATTCATGCCCCTATATGCGATGATTTTTTTTAAATTTCAAATCTGAAATTCTGCAAAGCTGTAATGATTAGCATTACATGGATTCATCCATGCTACTGAGTGAGAAACAATGCAGTATAGTGGTTAAACTGTTGCACTAGGACTAGAGAAACTGATTCAATTTCCACCTCAGCCATGGAAGCTTACTAGGTGACTTTGGTTGAATTGCAGCCTTCAGTCCAACCTTCTTCATTGGCTCGTGGGGAAAATTGGAAGAGCAAGTCTTATGCAGGTGGCTTTAAATTCCCAGAGGAATGGTGGAATCTGATAAATAAAAATTGTATACCATTGGGAGGGACTTTATTCATGTTACCTAATAAAATAATCCCTTATGATTAAAAAAAACTGCTGTCAAATGCCTCTGAATTCTAAAAATCTGCAATATCTCACCTAATTGTATAGACATAAACTAGTTTTAGTTGCAATCCACTGAAACTAGGTGCCTGGCATAAAATAAATTTGCCCATTTAGAACATAGAATCACAGAGTTGGAAGGGATCTTGGAGTTCTTCAACCCCCGGCTTGAGCAGGAAAGACTATGTGCCATTTCAGATAAATGGTTGTCCGGTCTCTTTTTGAAAGCTTTCAGAGATGGAGCGCCCACAACTTCTGAAGGCAAGCTGTTCCATCGGTTGACTGCTCTCACAGTTAAGAAATGTCTCCTTAGTTGCTTCTCTCCTTGGTTAGTTTCCATCCATTGTTTCCTATCTTGTCTTTTGGTGCTCTGAAAAATATTTGGATCCGCTCGTCTTTGTAGTAGCCCCTTAAATATTGGAACAGTGGTATCTTGTCTCCCCTAGTCCTTCTTTTCATGAGACTAATCAGAATAGATCTGGAAAGGACCTTAGAGGTCTTCTAATCCAATCTCCTGCTCAAGCAGGAGGCCCTCTACCATTTCAGGTAGGTGGCTCTCCAGTCTTTTCTTTGAAACCTCCAGGGATGAAGCATCTACAACCTCTGAAGGCAAGCTGTTCTACTGGTTAATTGTCCTCCCTGTTAGGAAATTTCTCCTTAATTCCAGGTTGCTTTTCTCCTTGATTAACTCCATCCATTATTTCTTGTCTTGCCTTCTGATGCTTTGGAAAATGGGTTGACCCCCTCTTCTTGTTTGTAGCGGCCCCTCAAATACTGGAATACTGTTATCATGTCACCCCTAGTCCTTCTTTTCTCTAGACTAGCCAAACCCAATTCCTGCAACTATTCTTCATATGTTTTTGTCTCCAGGCTCTTAATCATCTTAGTTGTTCTTCTTTCCACTTTTCCCCACTTTGGACATGTTCTGTTTTTGACGAACTCATGATGGTTTAGTGTATTTTCACTAAAGAAATAAATTGTCAATAAACTCATTCCTTTTTCTTATTAAACTTGCTTTCACATTAGCGGACCCAGATGTTTTCTCTAGATTATCATAGCTGTCGCAAAAAAGGCTTAGGAGAGTTCACCAGGACCTGGATGGTAGACCACCAGGAATCCTGTTAGGACTTTTAGGTCACTTGAAATTCACTTTGCAATCTTCCCTATGCTTTAAAGATATATTCTCTTCTTACAGGAAACAGTTAACCATATAGAACAGGGGTCCCCAATCCACAGGCCACTACCAGGCCGTGGGCCATTCTGAACAGGGATGCAAAAGTGGTGGCTGAACATGCATGCACAGTTCCACATTGCGAGAGCAGGCGAGCGTATGTGTGCACAAAGTTCTATTTGCGCAAACGACGTGCGTGCCCACCACTCATGCAAATGGAGCTGTGCATGCCTGCGGCTCATGCGGAACCAACCCCTTTCTCTTCCGGACTGGTCCACAAGGCCGGAAAGGTTAGCGACCACTGATATAGAACAGTATTTCTTAACACTGATAACTTTAAGCTGTGTAAACAAGAGTTCTGGAAGTTGAAGCCACATAACTTAAAATTGGCAAAATTGAGAAACTTTGATACAGAATGCTAATTTCTATTTTCTGTTTATTTGATTATGATTTTGTGTTCCCTGGGTTATTATTACACCTAGCTTCTTCCTTAAGGAAATTTTTACTATTATTTCAATAGGTATTCTAAATAATTTCATTCTATCTCAGTTTTGCAGAGTTGGATGGGAAAACCTTCAGAGGCTTCAGTTAAATTCCTGTTAATAAAGGTCTTTAACCCAACAGGTGATAAATACTCTTAAAAATAGAAAGTAGAAGTAATTCTAACAATAAAGCTGAGATGAGTCAATATCCATTTTATTTGTTTTACAAAGAGAGGTGCCAGAATAAAGACAGCTTCTCAAAAGGACTTCTGTAAGCCACAGTTAAAATCTGATTTCTGTTAAATGTTGTGATCTAATTCTCATAATTTTATCATTCTCATAGTATCATTTATTATTCTGAGTAACTTGATTCACACTGCATGAACTACAGATAGTATACACACAAAGGAATCTGACAGCTGTCAGCGGACTATTTCTTTTGTTTTTGTTTTCACTGTTGTATGTTTAATTAACATTTTCTATAGCTTGTGCTATCTTTCTCTTCTTCCGGGCACACAGACAAATGTTCATCTTTTAAAATTGTCATTTCAAATGAGTATTGGAGCGAAGACACTTTGGAGGATATAGTTAAATGTCAGGTTGCTATGGTAATTGCCTCTGTGGAAAGCTATAATCATCTAACAAAATGCAACCTCATGTTCCAGTCACATAGATAAAATTCCTGCTGAGTACAGGAAACTAAATCAATCCAGAAAAGATCCTTCCTAGATGACTGACATTTAATTTTATATTTTTCTGATCTAAAAAAAAAACAGATTCCAGAAGTTATGACTTTATGTACAGAGCATTCATTGTTGTTTGATTGATGTTGACTGTTGTAGAACTTGGTAAACTGAATCATACTGTCCCTCTTTGCCTTTCAACATTGGAAGTATCAATATTCAGAAAGACCATGAAATGTTTTTTTTTTTTAAAAACATATTGTCATGCCCCTGTTGGAAGCTGATTCGGAGGGGGAGGCCGAACAGCTGACAGGGAGTGGGAGTGTGGCTCTGCTGGCTGTGGAAGAAATTGGAGAAGGGCAAAGTCCACCTGGGCAAAGCAGGGAGAGGTAGAGCAAGGGAGAGGGAATTCAGAGGAAGGCCCAGGCCTACCCCCTCTTCATCCTAGGGCACACAGGGAGGAACAGAGAAGAGAGCAACGTGGGTTGTGTGGCTTACGAGGAAGGAAAGGGCCCTGATTCCCTTCATTAGCCACACTTGGGAAGAGAGTTTAAAAGAGATGCATGCTAAGTGTGGTGTCTGCTGGAAGCAAACGTGAGTTTATCTTGTGTTGATTTTGGTTATTTGTGTTCCTGGCATCCTACCAACAGTGTTGAATTATGGCCGTTCCTTCACGTCTGGAATTCCTTCTCCTGCCCTGCCGGACTAATTACCTCATCTTGCCTTGACTGGACTTATAGTTAGTTTTTGTTGACCATGTTTTAGACTTGATTCTCTTCAGCCAAAGACTGTTCCTGGGAGAGTTTTTCTCTAGCCAGAAGGTAACCAGGACATTGCGGGCAAAGTTGGAGATAATAAAGGAACTCTTCTTACTTATTTGACTGTGTTGCCTTTGTGCCATGCCGTGGGTCATCACACATATACACACAAATTCACTTTCTGAAGAACTCTTCTATTATTCATAGCATCAATCACAAACCTTTACAAAAAGCCCTGTCTTCACCAACCCCACACAGGTTAGTTTATATTCATTCCTGGCCAGAAAAATGATGAGTTCAATGTAATCACCAGCTACAGTGACATCCCACATACATTTAAGACATCAGATCACAATATGAGTGGACATTTTTATATACTGCTGTATCTAGTGACTTGCCTTCTGGTCAATGTATTTGTCTTCAATTGCCAGCCTTTTAGAGTGATCGCAGGAGGAAGAAGAAGCTGATGGAAGCCTTCTCAATAAACAAGTTGTATCTTGCTGCTGTCGATCAATAAACTGCTTCATAAAGCTTTCCCTTTTGAGAGAGAGAGGGGGGAGAGACTGCCTCTTATTTATATTTCCTTTGTATAACGAATAAATGACAACCAAATTTGAATAAATATATCCTTTATCTAATACATCATCCAAAGCTCTTTGTTATGTTGTCTGATAGAACAATTTCCATACTTTGAAATATTAATAAAATATATTTTATTTTTTCTATAATTTATAATAATAAACGGGGCAGCAAGCAATAGGAACTGAATCAGTTTTTGCATGTTCTATCAGTTGGGTTTGTGGAAAATAGTAGACCTATGTCGGATTCATTGTAAAAGACTAATGAGATATTATTACCAGATGAGTATTTATAATAGCATTAGCAATAGCGTTTAGACCTACATTCCCCTTTACAGCACGTTACAGCCCTCTCTAAGAAGTTTACAGAGTCAGCATATTGCAATCTGTGCCCTCATTTTACCCATCTTGGAAGGATGGAAGGCTGAGTCAACCTTGAGCCTGGTGAGATTTGAACTGCCAAACTGCAGTCAGCAGAAGTAGCTTGCAGTACTGCAGTCTAACCACTGCACCACCAATCCCTCCAGTATAATCCAGAAAAATGACTATTTAGTAAGTTTATTTTTTAATAGAGTCAAATGCAATCTATGGATTATCATGGCCAATACTTCATAACTTATCAATTGATAAACACATTTAAAAAGAATTCGATATGATTGACAGTTTCGAGGGTGATTACCAAGTTCTAATACCAAATCATTCTCCCATATATTTTTCAGACTTTCAAGATAAATTGACTAAAGAGATTCTCTAATTTTCAAGGTAATGTTTTAATTGTGAAGCAATCAATAATTGAGAATCAGACTGAACTCAATGTACTTGAATCCAAATTGGGATTTGTGACCATTTTTTGCAAATATATTCAGCAATAATAGTGTTTCAATCAATACTTCACTAACATACTTCTCACATTTTTCTAGTTTGCCAAGAAGTAGATTGCGATCTACTTAATCATATCTTCTTCTTCAAGGCCCGTGGCTTGCATATTTTTATGATACTTTACAAATGTTTTACTGAAATCTAAGTATACTACATCCGCAGCATTTTGCTGATCCACTAATTTAGTTACTTTGTCGAAGTATGAAATAAAATTTGTTCGGCATAATCTGTCTTTTGACAAACTCATGATGGCTATTGGTTATAACTTTGTTTACTTGTAGGTATTCACAGATTTGTTGCTTGATTATCTTTTCCAAGATCTTCCAGTATTGATGTCAAGCTGATTGATCTGTAATTTTCTGGAATTTTTTTTTCTTTTTTTGAAGATGGGGACAACATTAGCTCTTTTTCAGTCCTCAGATAGTTCCTTGGTGCTCCAAGAACTTTGAAAGATATGTTTCAAAGAGTCTGAGATGATGTCTGCCAGTTCCTTCAGAACTTTGGGATGTAATCCATCAGGACCTAGTGATATGAATCCTAGAGCTGACAAGTGTTTTCTTATCTTACTTTTTTCATATTTTAATATGCATTTCTAACCTGTCATTTATGGTTTTGTTTTTGGTAAGTTGAGTACTGTTTTCTTTTTACATGAAGATGGATGCAAAGTATGAATTAAGCAGTTCTGCTTTCTCTCTACTGCCCGTTACTACTTTGCCATCTATTCCCATTAGTGGACCGATTGTTTCTTTGACTTTTTTCTTGTTTTTTGTGTTGGAAGAAACTTTTAAAATTTGTTTTTGATATTTGTTGCAAGTTTTACTTCATTCAAAACCTTAGTTTTCCTAATTTCATCTTTGCAGGTTTGGTCTATTTGATGTTATTCTGCCTTACATATGTGTGTCCCTGATTCCGTATTTTTTGTACTTATTTTTTCCCCTCTTAGTTGGTCTGAGAGTTCTTTGTGCAACCATGCTATTTTTTCTTGGTTTTCTTTTTTCTTTTTTAATGGTACTGAACTGGACTGGACTTTTATAATCAGAAAGTATGTTTTCCATAATTGGAATAACTGGAATTCCATAATTGGAATTTGCAATATTCTGTTCTTACAGTGGCTGCAAGAGTGGGATTCTACTGGTTTGCACATGTTCGCTAGAACTGGTTGTTAACATTCTAAGCAGCTTGGAGAACCAGTTGTTAGAAGAAATTACTGGCCTAATCCTGTAAGGAAGGCAGGAAGGAAACATTCTGGTGTTGCTTACAGAAACTGCCTCTCCGTTAACCCTTATTACATTCTTGGCAGGATGAGACTTCTCTGGAGCTTTTCTGGAGTTTTCTTCCCTCCTTTGCTAGTACTTTATTTATGTGGAGTGACCATTCAAAGTTACAATGGCACTGAAAAAGTGACTTATGACCATTTTTCACCCTTACGACAGTTGCAGCATCCCCACAGTCACGAGAGGCCAGGCGAGGAGATGCGTGCCTCGATTTGAGTAATGTTGAGTTGGCCATGCCCAGCCAGTAACATGACCACCAAGCCATGTCCACCCAGTCACATGACTACCAAGCCATGCCCACCAACTAAGCCACACGCACAGAACCGGTTGTTAAAAAATTTGAATCCCACCTCTGAGTGGCTGCCTGATTAGAGAAGAATGACCAAATGAGCTAAATGGAGTGTGGTGATATTTCCAGTTCTTTGAGAAAGTTCCAGAGCTTGTCATAGTCAACACAGTCAAAGGTTTTGTGTAATCAATGAAACACATGTAGAGATATTTTGGAATTCCTTTGCTTTTTCCATCCAACATAGATTGCTAATTTGATTTCCTTTCCGAAATACTGCTTGTACATCAAGCAGTTCTCTGTTGCCGGTTGGATTCAAATGTTGCTAGATTATCTTCAAGAGAAGTTTACACATGTGTGGTATCAAGGCACATGATTGGAACAGTCTTTCTATCACCTTTCTTTGGTATTGGGATAAATATTGACCTTTTCAATTCTTTTGGCCATTGTCCAGACTTCCATACATTTGGGCAAAGTGCTGGGAGTGCTTTAGTTGGCAGTGGTCTCCGCGACTTAAGAGGAATTCCATCCACTCCTGGGGCTTTGTGGTTAAGCAATTGGTTTTCAACAGTGGAGAGATTATGTTTTCACTAGGAGCTGTGTCAACAGCTGCAGAGCCATTAGGATTTACCCCATCTGTGTCATGGATGCTCTTGCTACTATGATAGTCTCTTAGCTCTTTCCCTGTAGCTTTATTGGTACCTCCCAGCTAGGGGGACTCACTGCTCAGTACCATATCTTCCACATCTTTGGTGGGGAAAACTGGAGTAGGTCACCAGGTTTTTCTCCTATATATGATAGTGTTAATTATCAAACTTACTTAGTTTAAAGTCTGAGCCTATGAACATAGTTGGGGATTATTTTTAAGAACACATTACTATAAGAAGATTACCTTTAACAACAACAACAACAACAACTGCTGCCCAGCTCCTAGTGGCTCAGTAAGTTGTACATTCTGGCACAGGAGGCAGGAAAAGGGAGAACATTTAAACACAAACTACTATAGACCCCAAAATACAAAACTTAAAAACAAAAAAACCTCTGCCTACGAAGTTCAAAAGAGTTAGCTTTGCAATAAGGAGGCAGAAAAAGTTTACTACCTTATTTTGGGAACTGTGAAATCTGAAGGGAGCTTGGAGATTTTTACCATTTGAGGTCTGTTAGGGAATTTTTCAAATATCCGTAGCCGTAATGGGAGCTTTTCCTTCGTATCTGCATTTGCTTCACTTTGTTTCAGCTGAAAATTAAAAGAAAATAAAAATAAAAATTGGATAATCTAACATCCTAGGGATCATCCTAGGTTTTGGTTTTTGTTTTTCAGAACAAAATGTTTTCGGAACATTTTTTTTCCAGAACAAATGCAAGCAGTTGAAAAACCACTAGATGGCAGAAAAGAACTACAGAAAATTCAGACACTATTCTAAAATCAGTTTCTCACTATTTTAAGGCTATTGTTAGGAGCTGAAACTCAAGCAGTCTATTTCTTGAAGGATATTAAATGCAAAGGATGTTGTATAAATATTTGTTTTTTCACAGTTCTCTAAATGCTGTGAGAAAAAGAAAGTCAATTTAAGCTCTCCTGTTATTAATTAATAGAATTATGTTTTGGACTTGGACTGCAAACAGACTCCCTGTTGACTTAGAAGTTATTAAATTCTTAGTAAACCAAGGAATCTCGTTTTGGAATTTATTAATAGGGTGTGGCACTATAAGAAGCTTGAAGGCTGCATAACTTGGTTCAAGACTTTATTTTCTGTCCTCTTCCAGCTACTTTCAAAGAATAACTAGATGATGTCTTTTGAATGTTTGGTTTTTAAATTGTTTTTCATATTGCATGTTTTTATTGTTGCTGTGAACTGCCAAAAGCTGAGTATATAAAATGGGCAACCATGTATGAATACTAAAAAAACAAATAAACGGTCAACAGAAAGAAAATAAGAAGAAGAATGAGGTAGAAATAACATATGCAAAGGACTAAGGGAACACATATTTCCCAGGCAGTTAACAAGCTTAATGAAGTAGTTTTCCTATACATTCTTAGTCAAAGGAATGAGCATATTGTTATGAGAATTATATCCTCATTTCAATAGCTAATAGGCCACGGTATTTCTTTGCAACAGTAATGGGAAGAAGATATTTTCTTAAATGAGCCATGGTGGCTACTCAGCTACTAACACACTCATTAACTTGTACAAAAATTTGAAAGAAATAGTTTGGCAGACACAGAATGTAACCAATAAAGGAAATTAAATTCTGATATCCTATTTCCTCAGAATAAAGGAATGATAATTTAAAACATACACAATCAGATGCACTGCAAAGACCATCTCACCTACCAATAGTCAACATAGATATTTGTTTATATCACAGCATCTACATACTCCAGGGTGCCTACCTCATAAAGACTGCCCAAATGAAGGGTCTCACTAAAGCAAAGCAGGCATATAACTGAATTTAGCATGTTCTCTAGGAAGTTTCATGAAGAATAAACAACCATAGACAATCTGAAGGTGTCTAATGGGCAGATTCTCCTTTCAGCCTTCCGTGTGGAAGGATAACTGCCTCCAAATAGTTTTTGCTGTAACAAACTGCATGTACCCTAGAAACACCTTGAGCTGAAGGATAAACAAAAGGTACAGATTTAATGATAGTATAGTGAAGGATAAGGAGATCTTTAAGGGCATTGGAAGGGCCACAATTATCTTCAATCTTATCATTAATGAATTCTTAGCATGAAAGTACTGCCGGTAGTATACTAATTAAAACAGTCTCAGAACAGATCAGGAGATGTGACAGGCATTTCAGAGAAACGAAGCTTCCTGTAAAGGATAGAAGTGCTATTCCTTCCAGGTTGCTGACAGGGAGTCTAGCCAGTAAGCCCTTTTCCTCGGCCCTTCTTGGGACATCAAAGGGGGTAGAAGTAGTAAGGTACAAATGTGGGGTGAACTGATGTGTATCTGCTTATATGTGCATACACACTCCAGAGGTGGTATTCAGCAGGTTCTAACCAGTTCTGGAGAACTGGTAGCGGAAATTTTGAGTAGTTCAGAGAACCGGCAAATACCACCCCTGACAGGAGATCCTTCCCCTGCCATGCCCACCCAAGCCACACCCACAGAACCAGTAGTAAAAAGTTTGAATCCCACCGCTGACACACTTCTATAAAGACATAGACTTTGCACACAACCACTGTGAATCTGAAAAGTTGCAAGTGAATTTGTACCGATGGATTCAGAAACTTCTAATCACAGACTCAAAAGTCCATTAAGAACATGTTGTCCTATATATTCCGCTTCATTTTGTGTGTCCTTTCTAAAAATTAAAGCCTGTCTGTTGTTCTTTAAAAAAAAAAAAAGACAAATAAATCAATGACAAAGACTCTTCACCCAAATGGTAAACTAATATTTCAAATATTTCACAGGAGGGGGGAAAACTGACACCAATCAAAGATGGGAAAATAACATAAATGGAGTTTATAATCCACTCTCCCCAAAGGAAGAAGTACAGAGTGAAGGAGAAAGTGAGCAGAGAGGAGGGCTTTTAATAAAACTGCACTGCCAAAAACAAAACAAAGCCAAGAATGGCAGATAACTGTTCTACCGCATTTATGTTTTAAAAGAGCCCTTAGACAGTAGAAAAGAATGTAAGAGACATTTTCAGTGGTAGCAACTTATCCACAGAATTTAGCAAATTTATATCTCAAGTGGCACCCTTTGAGTTGAGGGCCATTTCTACTATTTTCATGCAGTTTTCTGTGCAACAATGCAGCATGGGCTTGCTATTGTTTTCTTCTAGAAGTTTTTAGTAAGCCCATATCCCAGTAGTTCTTGATCTGCCATCCAAGTGCCCTGTCTACCTTTTCCATATCAGTTGGTTTTTCAAAGGGAAGGAATGAAATATCTCTCATCTCATAATAAAGCCTTTAGGTACATATAAAGAAGCTTTTTGGGCATATGGCATGACTAGTGTATGGAATGCCACTCTATTTAAAATACCAAAAACATGAAAAAATGTTACAGGACTAAAGTTACTTTTCATGTTAAACCAGAACTATATTTTTTTGGTGTGTGTGTGTGTGTGTGTGTGTGTGTGTGTGTGTGTGTGTGTGTAGGGGTTGCAATTTTAATTCAAGGTTTGAGGGGACTAGCTTCTTATGTAGAACCACAGGGAATATGTTGGAGCCAATATCTATCGCTGTTTTGATTCAAAGCTGCAAACATTTTGACATGCCTTTCACCCACTAAAAACCTCAAGACCAGCCCCTCCCCTAAAATAGGCTAAAACATTGGTCTGCCAACCAGGAGTTTGGGAATTCCTTCTACACTAAGCCATCGTAATGCAAACCCATTTTTTACAATTTTAATCCATGTCACTTTTCTTGTGGCAGCTTCACATGTTCTGTTTGGGATACCTTTATACATTAATGAGCCGTGGTGGCACAGTGGTTAGAGTGCGCTACTTCTGCTGATTGCCTCTTGCGTGCAATTTGGCAGTTCAAATCTCACCAGGCTCAAGGTTGACTCAGCCTTCCATCCTTCCAAGGTGGGTAAAATGAGGATCCAAATTGTTGGGGGAAATACGCTGACTCTGTAAAATCACTTAGAGAGGGCTGTAAAGCACTGTAAAGCGGTATCAAGTCTAAGTGCTATTGCTATTAAGCCAAAAGCAAATAAAATAATTATCTTTGTACAAGGCAACACAAAGTGTGGCCAATTTTAATATAGGTAAAACTGAGGAACGATAAAAATACTGATTTGTGGGGCAGTCTAGCAAAAGAGTACGTAAGCAAGGGTAGGAAAAAGCATTGTGCTGAAACAATATAATGATTAATAATATGCTTTAAAAATAATCTAAGCTCAAAATCATTCTGCAGTGCCTGACAATATCTGTCGTGCTGAGATAATACTACCTATTGGGAAGTATAAGACATTTAACTTCACTTAGTGCCTTTGAACACTTTTGGGTGTAATATTTGCTCAGCATGATGCATATCTTGTTCTTTCTCTGTATTGTTCAATTTATAGAAACTGCTTGCATTATTTTAACCTCCTCCACCCAATGGTTTACAACTCTATCCCAAAGGTTCAAAATACATAAAAAGTTTTTTACAATAACTTTTCTAGCTTCAAACCTGAGTTCAGTTTTTTTTTTAGTTTTAGTGCACTTTAGTTTAATATGTAAGCGTTTGGTAAAATTATTTATTAGTGACGTTCACTAAGTAAATGGGGCTTTAAGAGAGCAGCTTCCATCAAACTTTAAACCTCTGTGTAAGATAAAAATGAAATATTAATGTGGGATGCCTAACATTTGCTGACAAAAATAAAACTTTTCCATTCTCCTTCCTTCTGCAATCTCTTTGGAGGATCAGACAGAAGATCTCAAAAATACATGTTTACTTTCCTAAATTTTTAAAAGACTACAGTCCTACATACACTGAATTATCAGAAACTGGACAAAAGGATTTCTGATTGCACTGTAAAATGAATTGGCTACCAATCCTTTTTCAGGAAACACAAGAAATTACAAGATGGAGAAAGAGGAGGACAAAGTTCTATCAATTAGTAAAGCTGGAGTAAACACTGTTTTTTTTAAATCCCAGCATTTTAAATAATATTATGACTAGAAAAATTTGTTGAACAACTGAAAAATAATAATTTTACTAATAATCCTTATTGGAATCTAATTAATTCTAATATTAATAATATTATTTAAGTCCAATGTTAGCATTCTAAATTAATTTTGCAAGTTTTGTCAGGATTGTATGTAACCATATCAACCAGCAATAAGCTAAGACTGGAACAGTTTTTAACAAGTTTGAATAGCCAACTAAATAATGGGTAACTTTTTTCACTGTCATCTTTTCTCTGATTTTATTTATGAGTCACTATCATGGGTTGAGGAGTTACATTTACACATTTCAAAAATGTATTTGTCATTTTGTTAAACAGCCAAATATATGAAAAAGGCACACACATATTTGACAAATAAAATGTTCACAGGAACTCATGAATATGTTCTATTTTAATCCACATGAAACACTCTTTGAGAAGGTCAGATCTGTCTGAAATCAATGGTGCATTTAGAATGAAGAGGTCTCACTAAGAGGCACAGTTTTCTTGAAACTGGCTAGCTACAATGAGTGACTTCATAGTGAGGATGCCCAACACTTTGGAAACCTGTGCCTTTTTTATTGAGAACCTTTCTGGCTGTGATAAAAAAATGAGTAAGTAATTACAC